CTCTATACTGTTTCTCCAATTTCTGTGTAACAATCTAAAGTCATTTCAAAATGATTTTCTTCTTGGATCTGGGAGATGGCTCCTTACATCACAGTGCTTGCACACAGCATGAAACCCTGAGTTTGGATCCAAAGCATAAAAGCTGGGGTAGCGGCAGACCAGGAGTGTGATCCCAGCACTGGGGTAGCGGCAGGATAGGAGTGTGATCCCAGCACTGGGGTAGCGGCAGGGCAGGAGTGTGATCCCAGCACTGGGGTTTATTGGCCAGTCAGCCTAGCCAGACTAGCTCCAGGTTCATCGTCTCAAAAACTAACATGGAAACTGACTGAGGAAGACCCCCGTGTTACCTTAGCCTCCATGCATGCATACATGACATGTCTACACACACAATGTGAGCTCACACATTTTTCTTAAAGTACTAGTTTTTCTGTGTTCCTTTACCACATTTTCTTTCCTCCTGAACTGAGGACTAAAGCCAGGGCCTTGTGCTTGCTAGGCAAACACCGAGATAAACTCCTACTTAGCACATTTTGTAGAGCTCCTATGTCCTGTCAGATACAGTTATTGGCTCTAAGAATATGCTAGTGACCAAACTGACCAAAATATCCTGCTCCCATGGACCTTGCATTTCACCAGAGGGGACCAGAAAGTTAGTATTTGTCTGTCATATTAGGTAGTGTAGCTGTGAGGGAGAGCATGCAGAGGTGAATAGCAAGAATGTAGAGAGGTATTGAGATTTGCATGTGATGACCATGATAAGCCAATGCTTTAATGAAAAAGGGACAGTTTAGGAATGAGTTGAAGGAAATGAAGATTAAACTATGCAGGCATCTAGATACAAGGCCTTCATAGACTTTGCTTTTTCCTGAAATTAATAACAAAGGACCTGAAGAAGCTGTGGGCTTGCAGTGTTTCAGGAATGGCGATGAGGCTTGTGTGGTGGGTGGTGACGGCCAGCAGGTGGGATATGGGAGGCGCACTGGGGAACTGTCTGAATTGTGAGCCAGGCCTTCAGTCTGGACGTCATATTTTTATGGACAGCATATGGATGAACTCAAGTTATGTGGTGAAGCCATCAGTGGAGTGAGAATAGAGAAATGCCTGTGCACCTGGAGTACCTTACATTTCAAACTGGGAGATCTGACAATCAGTTGGAGAAACAGAAATGAAAGCTTCCTTCTTTGAGGATTAAGTCCTGTGTTAGCGTGTGAAATTCTCCATATACTGACTCATATGTGTTTTTAAATATATCTTCATACTTTTTTCCTTTTGGTTCTGCTCTCTTTCTCTCTCTTTTTTTTTCCTCTATGTCTCCCTCTCTCTATGTCTCTTTTGCTGAGTGTGTGTGTGCGCAGGGAATAAACCCAAGGCCTTACAGATGCTGGGCACATGCGTTCCATTCCTCATCCTCCATTCCTGGAAGCACTTTTCTCCTATTGCACATGTCTGACTTACTTCTTTATTTCAAACTTTAAGATTCAGCTCACCTATAACTTCCTCCGATGTCTACCAGATGACTTAGTTCCCTCTGCTGTGTCCCTTACCCCATTCCCCACATAGAGCAAGTGTCATGCAGTCCACCTCATTGCCTTGTTCCTGTCGTTGCATGTGAACTTGGGCTCATCATCTGGGTCTAAATCGCTTATTTATATATCTCTGCAGCTGGTTACTGTACAGCACTTGGGGATCTGTGTTTCACTCATGGCTTAATGTCTCACACAAAATACTTAATACTTGGTTGGAACTTAAATAATATTTAGTCAATAAATTTGAAAACTAAAACCAATAAGCTAGCCAAAATAGAGAAGAAGCTTCTATAAGAGGATCAGCCTTTGTGACTGTGTTTAAAGCTGATTGTAGAGCAGGGTTTTGTGAGAGATGACGTCTGGGCTTCAGAGGAAGTGAGAAGCGTGCCGGGAGGCCAGTGCTCACCATCAGTCCTAGGAACAGAGGACTCTCTAGATGCAGTGGCTGGAGTCGTTTCTTTTCCTGTACTTTTTATTGAAAAACTGTCTTGTAAACATAGATTGTTTCACCAGGCAGGTAGAAGCAAATAGAGTGGATTCATTATTTGAAAATTTATTTGTATAACATTTTTGGAATATTTGATTGCCTTGTCTTTTTTAAAAAAAAAAAAATTACCCCAACCTGTCTGTCAGGTGTTGGAATTCCTCAGCTTCATAGGGATGTGAATACGCAGACAGTTTCAAAATCAAGATTTCCATACTGGGTTCTCACCTTCCCATGAGTCACAGAGCTGTTGCTTAACCTCCCAGAAGCACGGCTGGGCAGTAGAAGGGTGGAGGCTGACTGAAAACCCAAAAGATTTGAAGGAATTTAAGGAGTAGAATCTAAAAAAGGTGTTAGTAGGAGTGAGGTTTCTTGGTTTATAAGCATACTAAATGAACGCATGAGAATTGAGTCACACTTTTAAATATTTTGTAAATTTTGCTCAGTATTAAAACATTTTTTCTTTGGCATAACCATGTATATTTTCAAGGAGGCACAAATACGCCCTCTTTGTTTTCAGTGGGTCCAGATGAACTCCGTGTCAAATGCAAGCGACACTTGGCCACTCAGAGGAAAGTGTTGAAAGGAGAGAGCTCTAGTCCTCTTCTGCTGGGCATTGGCCTCTATGTAGTAGTCTTTATTTTCAAAGTGTGCTAAGATCCGACTAAAGTTCACGTTAGAAATATATTTTCACTTTCTCAAATGAAGCTTTAGACATGTGTTTCTAATAATTCACTGAAAATATGCTGAATTGTATATTTTTAAAGAGAATCTGTTTTGAAAAAAATTCCAAAATATTTGTTTGAACAGGCACTCAACATCTCGATGAAAACGGTCGGAAAAGAAAAACTTTCAAAGTCATTCTGTTCTCAGAGTACCCGAGCCAACTAAACTGGTACAGTTAACGCTTCAGTCAGAGGCAGGAGCCAAGAAATCTAGCACATTCCAGACTGCTTTTCAGCAGGCCTTCAATCCAACTCCGTGGCTGATATTAATGCCATTGAATTTCAGAGTAAAAAAGCTACAAGAATAATATCTATAGCTATTTTTACCAATGTTAGACCTTTTTAGTAGCCTAAGTATCTGCCTTAAGTTAGCATTCTTGAATTTTATTAGCACTTATTCTGCAGGACTGTCCTGTGGAGTATGAGCTTCCCAATGTAGCATCACCCAGGTGTGTGTGTGTGTCTGAGAGAGGGGGGGGGGTGGGGGGGGAGAGAGAGAGTTAAAGAAGTCGATGCTGAACGTCTTTCTCCGTTGCGCTCTGCCTTATCTTTGGAGACAAGGTTTCTCATTGAACCTGGAGCTCATCAGTTTTCCTAGATTGACTAGCCAATGAGCTCCAGTGATTCACCTGTTTCTACCTCAACCCCCACCCCCAGAACTGGGCTTAAATATGTGTGCCTCTGTGCTTGTCTGTGCGCTGGAGATCTAAATTCAGTTCCTCATGCTTACTCAGCAAGCGCTTTATTCACTGAACCATTGCCCTAGCCCCAGATATCTATAGTTTTATTTTACATTGCCCTTTAAGTATCACTGAAGGTCACAGTGGAAAGAGAAATAATATATATCACATCATAACACTTTTGAGAGAGTGGTGGTTATATTGGGCTATAGTAGGCAAATGTATAAGTAGGGATTGTTTGTTTAGCCTCTTACCTGTTTATTCTCACTATATCCCCTTAAAATTTATTGATAGCACTTAATGCCTTTGCCAGTATGTTTGATATATAATATGTCATGTTGATCTGTCTGCCCATGTATTTGCTTTTATAAATGCTCTAGTTACTATCCATTAAATTGACTAGTTGATACCTTTATTTGGATGTTGTTATGGAGAATAAATAACAAGTGACTCAAAGGTTCTGCATGTCAGTTAGAAACAGAAAACTAAACGCAACACCTACCATATCACAGGGTTTGTTAGAAAAATAGCAGAAATAAAAGTTTCATTCACTGGATTTTCAGTCGCACCCCACAAGGTTACATCAGCAGTTTCCCAAGTCGCTCACCAACCCCAGTGTCATAAGCTTCTCTCAGAACTGGGAGTTCAAAGGAGCCTGTGAGACCAGGGTTGCCTCTTGGCAACTTGGGGTTCGGTTTTCATTATTCTTGCCAGTGTGTCATGTGAAAGAGCAGCAGCCACAGTTCAGGACATGGTGTTACTTCCACCGCGGAGGGTCTGAGAATTGGCGGGGGAACGCAGCGCTCCATGCAGTTCTGCCTTGTCTTGCCATGGACTGTTTATTACTGAAAACCTAGAAGGCAAGTGAGGGAGTTTCAGAAAGACACGATGGGGCTGACTGGAGATGCTGACTGAAAGCCAGAAACTGCAGTTCATCGGGACATAGTCGGGGAGGATACAAACACGTACAAAATAGGTATCAGAGTATGTTAGCAAGATCCAGGAAAAGGAGGTGAGGCAGACTCTGGTGCTGTGATGCGCCTTTGAGCCACTTTGGAAGGTCACACAGAGAGAGGTTGGCTAGGACAGGAGCTGAGAAGCAGGAATTTTGTTTGTCAAAGGAAGTAACTTTGGCTTATAGAGGGAGCAGAGACTCTTCAGTAAAGGGGCATTTTTGTCTGCAATTTCTCTGATTGAGTGCCAGAAGTATTTTAAAAAGACAAATCAAAGCTGTTTCTATCTAAGTTACACTGTGGGAGACCAACAGCTGATACGTTTTGTTTTTCTTTGCTATATTTCTCCTTAATGATTCTTAAGTTTTTTTCTGTTCTCTCGACTCTGTTGCTAAATCCCTTAAGAATCAAGAGTGTTTAAAGTAAAAGCATTATGAGACAAACGCTGTATTCTGTGGGTAGGATAATACTTCTTTTGTGACATTCTCTTTTTCCCACCAAAAGTGAGAACTGAATGCCTTGCCTTTGTGCATCCCATTTCAAATGGAGGACAAGAAGTTATTCTCTGCAATGGCTGACTTCCAGAATTTTTGCCTGAATGTTTTTTGTCAAGTATATATTCCCTTCTTTAGGCCTTTCTATATAGAGCCTACAAACATCGTCAATGTGAATGATGTCATTCAGAGGGTTAGTGACCATGCCTCTGCTATGAACAAGCGGATACATTACTACAGCCGGCTCACCACTCCTGCAGACAAGGCACTGGTAAGAGGCAAAGCTCTGCTGCTTGTCCAAAGTTGAGTTGAAGTGAACAGTAAACACCAAAGCCCAGGGCAACTCCCAGGGGTTGAACTTTTCGCTGGGGGTATTCCAAAGATAGCATCGTGCAAAGTCTAAGTAGTAGTTAATCTGTGTTTCAGGCTCCTTCGTGCTGCTTATCTACCCTGGCATAGACGTGTTTGAAACTCTCTGTTGATAATAGCTAGGAGCGTTTTTTCTTTGTTTTTAATTTCTGCTTATATCAGATGCCAAGAGCTCTGAGGAAGATAAATTTCTTTTGAAACAGCTGCTTATATCATTGACTAAAAACATGAGATTTGGCTAGTCTGTTTGGTTTCTAAGTTTGAAGCTACAAGGAAAAATATTTACATACATTTTCTATAGGAGTTAGAAACAAATCTGCTCATATATATACCCGATAGTTTTCTGGTTAGCATCTTTTTTCACAAATAAAAACTTAGCCTATGCAGACCACATGCTATTACAGGTCATTGTTTTGTCTTATAAACATTGAAAACAATTCTTAGGAAAGGGCTGTAAGTACAATAATGGTAATTTGCATTAGGGGCCATAGCTTATAGAGTCATGGTTGTCGGAAGTCTGTCTTATTATTTTAGAATTTAAAAATATGTAATTAATCTGTTGCTTATAACAGTGATCAGATGTGAGATACTGAGAAATTTAAAAGCTTAAAAAATATGGTAAAAGTCAATCATATCAAAAATGAAGAAAACAATTGGCCTCTAGCCTTCACTAAATGTCTACCAAGGGCAAGGAGTGGGTACCACCTGACCATGGCCTTTGATTTAACCCCCACAATGGCTATGTGAAGTCAGCATTAAGATCTTGTCTTTTGTTTGTTTGGCTAGCATCTCACCAAGTCCAGGCTGACCTCCAACTCTACATATCTGAGAGTGACCTTGAACTCCTTTCCTTCTCTCTTTGTTTTCCAGCCATGAACTACCACACCTGGCTCTAAAATCTCAAAAAGACTTCTGAAATGTTATGTGCAGAATAATTTTTTACAATTTTTATTTTTTTATTCCCCCTCTGCCCGCCCAGGACTTTACAGTGGCGTCCATTATAGAATTACCTAAATCTGTATGGGATTTGAGGTTATGGTCTGACAGTCTCTCCAAATGCTTTTCTCTTCGACTCAGACTTCAGAGATATCATCTAGGGCTGAGTGAATATCACTTGCCTGGAAATTAAGTCAATGCTACGCTTCGTAACCCTTTGTTAACTGACACTGAGGTGACTTTAGTACATCTAAATGGTCACCAAAGTTAATGTGATCGATCCATTTCTAATGAATTTGTATAAATAAGCATTCATTTTCTGAAAATCCCAAAGTCATTTTCCCTAAAAGTATTTTTTGGAGAAGAACAATAAATCATTGTTACCAAATGTTCATAGAGTAAAACCTTTTCATTTATGAAAAAAAAATCCCATTATTGTTACTCTAAACTGGAGAGGGGAGAAAGTTTTCTGCCAGCCTCTCCTAGATCCTTGCTAATAAACACACACACACACACACACACATACATACATACATACACAGATCAGCATCCTCAGTGTCACTGAGAGCTTACTAAAAAGATATCCATTGTGTGGGGCTTAGTCAGAGCCAGTGAAGCATAGTCCGTATGTCAGCAAGATCCTTGTGTGTGTCCTAGGAACATTCAGATGACAATACCATCCTAGACCACTGCCACAGTGAGATCCAGCCCTCCGTTTTCCCATGCCTCCTAAGAACACTCTATCTTACACGTCTTCCCATGCATAACCCAGACCCAGAGACTAAGCCCAGGGCACAGGTTTAGGTGAGGTGGACATGGAGTAGGTTTTTCCTTCCCTTTTGTGTACATCAGTGTGAGCACACAACCAGAACTTTCTACCTATTGTTGAACCGTGCTCCTTATAAGTTTTGGGTTTACTTGTTTTTCCCACCCATTTGCTTTGTGAGCTCTAGCGTTTTTCCTTCTTGATATGGCATAGTATTGCGCTTTATTTTCCTTTTTACTCATAGCAGAAGACAAGCTAATCTAGATCTTAGAGGAATGTAGGTGAGGAGAAGGAAAAGAGCAGTTTTCACATGTACGTCTGCCTGTGTCTCTAGGAACTAGTTGTTTCTGAAGCCACCCCATGCATAGCATTCAGGATATTCTTTCCTACAGAGACAGCCCTATCTCGCTGCATTGAAAGAGAAGGATATGACATTGTGTGCTGATAATCTGTGTATGCCCTTTCTTCCTACTAAGGCTGATACTCCATCTCTTCCTTGAAGTCTTCCCCCGCTATTTCAGTTGTCATAGTTTATCCAGTGAGATAGTACAGCACAGAGTTGAACACTTCATTTTGTCATGCCTTCCAGTCTTGTCCAGTTGCTTCACATTTTAGACATATTTCTAAGTATCATGGGTATTGAACACTCGGCATCCTTGATTAAGGAATTAAAAGTTATTTTTTTCAAATATAGTGGTAGATCTAAAGGAGCAAGAATGTATATCATCAAAGTACTTTTCACATTCACAAGAAAGAAGGAAGCAAAGAACAAAATGAAAGAAATCTCCACAGAGGAACCCATCCTTCAGTGAGGAGCTTTTTAAGTAGTGTTACTTAACTCTGAGGTGAAGGTGGTTTTAGAAGAAACAGACAGGAATCTCAGACTAAGGAATTAAGGAGCCAATGGAGAGTAAGTAAAGAAATAGTACAGAGACTAATTTTTAAATGCTTTGAGTAAAAGAAACAGGTAAAAAAGTAACTTAATGAATGGCAAAACAAGGCTTTTAGGAGCTGAGGACACTGAAGTGTGCAAGCAAAAGGGAAGGAGGCGACAGAGAAGCAGCAGGTGTAGCAAGGAAGCCCGAAGGGATGCACCTACACACTTACTTTTCCCACTACTCCCACCTTCCTGTTCTGGAGGGGAAACCCACCCTGTTTTCTGATGAAATGGGAGGGTTTTTATAATCCCAACACTCACGTATCAAAAACAGGAGAGGAGGATCACACATTTTAGACAGGGAGCGAGGGCAAAGGCCCAGATGTGCAATAGCCAAGCATCTCCCTGGCATCTGCCTAAGAGCAGCCCATCAGCCAGAGCCTCCCAGCTGTTTCAGTTAAGCATAAATCCTAGAAGTGTGTCTAGTCCATTTCTTTGATCAGTAGAATGCATCCTTTTTATACATTTACTGATTCTGATGTTTCTCTTTTCTTTTCCCCAAGATTGCTCCAGACCACGTAGTCCCAGCTCCAGAGGAATACTATGTGTACAGTCCATTGGGCTCTGCCTATAAACTCCAGAGTTACACTGAAGGCTATGGTAAAAACACCAGCTTAGTAACGATGTGAGTACAACTACTTCTTGGAGCATGAATTAACTTGTATATGAATGAAAATAACTGGTTAATTAGTTCTGACTTAATTAAAATGTTTGAGAAGCCCACCTTCATGTTTTATTGCTATTATTCTTTCAGTTTTATGATCTGGAATACCATGATGGGAACATCTATACTAAGTATTCCTTGGGGCATAAAACAGGTAATATGATTTTACATTTTAATCTGAAAATTTTTTAAGATTTATTATTTTTTTATTGTGTATATGTGTGAGTCTGTGTGTGGGTATGTGCATATAACTGTCTGTGTCAATGGAGGTCAGTGGTGTTGGATCCCCCTATAGCTGGAGTTACAGACAGTTGTAAGCCACTCAGCGTGGGTGCTGGGAACCAGGCTCCAGTGCCCTGAAAGGCTGGTTTGCATCCTTAACTGCTGAGCCATCTCTCCAACCCCTGAAATTTTTTCTATATATGTAATCCAGACACTTAGACCAAGGCAACAGGATCATGAGTTTAAGACCAGTTTGGGCTACATAGCAAATTTTAAGCCATCCTATTTTTATTCCATATTGTTTCCAAAATAGATAAATAACTTAATTAAATAATAACTTAGACATTTTTTACTTTATATTTTGTTTGGAACTGGGAATATAGCTCAGTGATAACGTGCTTTCCTAGCGTACATGAGGTGCTGTGTTCAAATACTAACACTATAAAAAAAATGACCACTATATTTGAAGTTTCATTATTTATATAAAATTTTCTATGAAAAGCAGATGTTCTTTTCATTTCTCCATTATCATAACTGTTTAGGGTAACAATGTAATTGCATATGAAGTTTTCTTACATAATGAAAGGAACCTAACTTTTCCCAAAGGCTGGATTTACTACTGGAATGTGTGTCATCGTGCTGATGGGCCTTCTGACACTTTATTGCTGCTATAGAGTGGTGAAATCACGGAGTATGATATGTAAGTAACAGTACGTTGCCCCATGAATCAACAAGCTTTCCTGTCGAGGCAGGTCCCACTGTGTATATTCTGTGTGTGTAGCTGTCTCCTTTCACTTTCTATCTCTGTGTGTGTACATGTGCCACAATGCCCACATGGAGCTTAAAGGACAGCTTGAAGGTGTCAGTTTTCTTCTCCCACCATGAATTCTCTGGGATTGAACTCAGAGTTTGGTTGGCGGCAGCTCCCTAACCTCCGGAGCCATCTTGCTGGCCCCAGCTGTCTTTACTCTTGTGATTCATAGTTTTCTGCTGACCAGTCTGTTCATGAATCTCTGGCTCCCTCTGAAATTCAGAACTGGGAGTTCTTTGGAGAATAAACTAATGCTGATGTCCTTGTAAGAATAATGAAGACGTTGCTTACAAAAATGATTACATGTTTGTGTTCTTGAGTGCGTATGGGCATCGGGAAAGTACTTGGTGGAGGCAGTTTTCTCTCCTTCCACCATGGGGTCCTGAAGATGAAACTCAGGTTCTCAAGCTTGGTGCTCGTGCCTCTCCCTCTTCTTGGCCCCAAAATGTTATGTACACACACACACACACACACACACACACATTTGTTTTTGTTTTTCAAGACAGGGTTTCTCTGTAGCTTTGGAGCCTGTCCTGGAACTAGCTCTTGTAGACCAGGCTGGCCTCGAACTCACAGAGATCCGCCTGCCTCTGCCTCCCGAGTGTTGGGATTAAAGGTGTGTGCCACCAACGCCCAGCCAAAAAAAATGTTATATTTTTAAAATAAAGCATTTGTCAGAATTATTAAGAACTCTATGGCTCTTACAAATTATTGTTTACTTGTTTTGACCTATTCATAGCAGACTGAAGTATCAGCAGAAAAATATGAAAGTATAAACAATTCTTAATACTCATCTGTATAAATTCTGGATCAGAGAATTAGGAGGATAATCTTTTTGTTGTTTTTAAGCTTGAAGCGGGGTCTGGTTGGATTGCTAGGACTGGGTGCAGTCTTGAGGACAAATGATCTGTCATCCAGTCCGCCCTCCTTCATTCTCCTGAGCTGCCAGGACAGTACATGCTGCTACACAGAAACACCTTTTTAATCGTTTTCACAGACTTTAAACTGAGTATGGTGCATGCCTATAATCTCAGAATCTGGGAGTCAGTGGCAGGAGAATCAGAAGTCCCAGGTTATCCTCAGCTACGTTAGGAGTTCAAGGCCAGACTAGACTACGTGAGACTCTGCCTCAAAAAAAAAAAAAAAAGGCAAAACATAAACACTTTTAGGGCTTGGCAGACATGTATTTTTCATTCAGTCTCATTAGCATGTTCAAACCAACCTCTGGTTTGCCTTAGTCACTTGAGGAGTATTGTTTAAAATCTTGTTTAAAAGCCATTCAAGTTCCAAGTTGAGTTTGTTTAGCCTTGGTTTCTGCGGTTTCGGGTCTGACTGAAATGGGAAGAGCTCTTTATACACATGCAGTAAGTATGGATCTTACATCAGCCTGTCTGTGCAGAGGGACATGGCCTCCCCTGCGCTCCTGCTGACTGTCGTGGGGAAGGCCTGTCTGGGTAAGGCCTGTGTTTCTTCAATGCTCTCATTTAAAAGGGTGACCTTGGATCAATTCATTTTACAAAGTCAGCCAAACCCTAAAGCAAAGCCTAACAGGACGAAAGAAAGAAAGAAAAGAAAGGAAGAAAGAAAGGAAGGAAGGAAGGAAGGAAGGAGAGAGAGAGAGAGAGAGAGAGAAAGAAAGGAAACAGTTATAACCATTATTTGACAGAATCAGTGATGTACAAAAATCTGTGTTTAAAATAGGGTTTGTTCCAATGAGACAAGATGGATAGTCTATTAAGAAACCCGACACTATTCACTACACTAACAAGATCAAATCCATGGTTGCATCAATAGATACACCCCCAAAAGGCATTTAATGGAGTTCAGCATCTTTTTCTTAGTAAAGCTCTAAGGAAAATACTACTTTTAAAAAATTAAAGACTGTTTATCCCCAAGCCAGAACCAACAGCATTCTATAGTGATAAAATCTGTAAAGCTGTAAACTCTAACGGTCTTAGATAAAATTTAGCAGAACACAATTGATGGGAGAAAAATACAAACGACCTGAACACAAGAACTAAATCTGCACAAGTTAAAAAAAAAAAATGTCGTGAGGTTTCAAAGATTCACGATTGTAAACCATAAAAAATCAACTCTATAAATTCAATCCCATTTCAAACAGAGTCAAGAAAATTAGAAAAAAAAACAGTGGTATGGAAGAATCAGACTTACCAGGTATTAAAACAAACTATAAAGCCATTATTATAAAGCAGAAAGCTACTGTCTTAGAATTAGGAAGAAAATAGAGCAGAAGGGCCGCAGAAACGACTAAGTGACTCAAATCACTGGTTCCCTGCACCTATATGGCATCTCATAACTGTCTGTAACTCTAGTTCTTGGGGAATCAAATGCCCTCTTCTAGCCTCAGGCACCCGGTACACACATGTAACACAGACAAAAAAAAATTTATCTTCATAAAAACTAGACTGGAAAAGGAAACGTAAATTTCAGGTTTATGAGCTTAGTATATCCTGTTTGGTATCTGTTAAACTAAGCATCAATTGGGAGGGAACCCTTGTATAAAAATATATTCCAGATGATATTCAGACTAAAATGTGGGAAAAAAAATCAAGCCTTAAGAGGTCCTGCACATAAACTAGTGATTGAGATTTTCCTGATCAATATGGAAGATGAACATGGCGAACAATGAGGGCTGATGAGATGCAAAGGACAATGGCATGGGGTTTTGATCCTGCTGAATGTGCTGGCTTTGTGGGAGCATAGCCAGTTTGGATGTTCACCTTCCTAGATAAGGACGGAAGGGGGAGGACCTAGGACTTATCACAGGGCAGAAAACCCTGAGGGCTCTTTGGACTGGAGAGGGAGGGGGAAAGGAGTGGGGGGAGGGGGAGGAGGGTGGGAGGAGGGGGAGGGAAAAGGGAGGCTGGGAGGAGGTGGAAACTTGTTTTTTTTTTTCTCCTTTTCTCAATAAAATAAAAATAAAAAAAAAACTTTAAAAGGAATATATCACAAAGTTCTAGGGCATTACCAGAAATCATCCTGGTAGGTAGTCAAGAGGACATTTGAAAAAGCCACATGCTCCAAGGTGGAGTCCACCCCGAAGTAATCCATAGAGAAACAAATCCATGAATATCACATATAAAAGTTACAGCGACACTCTCCCCCCCACACATTAGTGATGTGATTGCTAATCAAGGAGATGGCTACCACCCATCATTCATGAAGAACTTCTCTGTGCTGGGGCTATAAATAAGCTTGTTATCTATCCTTCAAAGTTCATTCTTAATTGGACGTTCATAGACTAGAATGTCTTTCCTTTCTTTGTAGTTGTTTCTTTTTATTCTAGCACCCCAATGTCTGTACAAATGCTATTAGACTAGAAAATACACATTGGACAAGATTTGAGGGCCATAATACACACAGCAAGACAGACAGACAATCACACTGTATACCCCCTCAGGAAACTAGTTGCGTATTTGGCACAATGGCCAATTTTTGTTTGTCTTTTTAAGAGCGCTCTTACTCTGTTGCCCAGGCTGTTTTCAAACCGGTAGGTTCCATTGCTCCCTCCACCTCACACTCACAGACTCACGGGTTCCCCACCTCCGACTCCAGAGAAGCAGGGAGTAGGCGCACCTACTGCTACCACAGCTGAAGTGGCTTTTCATGAGCTCTCGTTGTTTCTAAAATTCTCTTTCCACTTACATTAATTTATGTGTGTGGGCATATGAGTGCCTCAGCGTGTGGAGATCAGAGAAGAGCTTTGGGAGCTGGTTCTTGGCTTCCATCTTGTGGATCCGAGGATTGACTCAGCAGCAACACCTTCACTTAGCTGAGCCATCTGCTCATCCCAATCAGTGGTGGTTGGTTATTTAGTTGCAAACCACCATGCTCAGTGTGGGCTTCACTGCTGCTTTCTGCCCTGTACTGGCTGCTGTATTTTACTTGATGCTTATAGAACTTGCTCCTGCTTGGTCACCAGACAGCAATTAACTTAAAGCAGTACAGACCATGGAGTCGTAGAGAAAGGGACTATAATTTGATGGCAGTTAAAATAATCTTACATTGTATCTATCTCTATTCTTATTCTGTACCAAAATATTGAGACAAATTACTATTACAATAACTCAACCATAGAAAAGCAAATTATTTTTGTGTTCTTTTTATACAAATGTCTTTGTGTTTTTATATAAATTCTTTTTTTTTATTGCGAAAAGAAGAAAAAAAAACATAAACAAAAAACAAGTTTCCACCTCCTCCCAGCCTCCCATTTCCCTTCCCCTCCTCCCAGAATTCTCCCCCTCCTCCCACCCTTCTCCCCCTCCTCCCACCCTTCTCCCCCTCTCCCCACTCCTCTCCCCCTCCCTCTCCAGTCCACAGAGCAGTCCTGGTTCCCTGCCCTGTGTTAAGTCCTAGGTCCTCCCCCCTCCGTCCATATCTAGGAAGGTGAACATCCAAACTGGCTAGGCTCCCACAAAGCCAGCACATTAAGTAGGATCAAAACCCCCTGCCATTGTCCTTGGTGTCTCATCAGCCCACATTGTTCGCCATGTTCAGAGAGTCCGGTTTTATCCCATGCTTTTTTGGTCACAGTCCAGCTGGCCTTGGTGAGCTCCCCGTAGATCCGCTCCACTGTCTCAGTGGGTGGATGCACGCCTCGTGGTCCCGAATTCTTTGCTCATGTTCTCCCTCCTTCTGCTCCTCCTTGGGACCTTGGGAGCTCAGTCCAGTGCTCCTGTGTGGGTCTCTGTCTCTATCTCTATCCATCACCAGATGAAGATTCTATGATGATATGCAAGATATTCGTCAGTATTGCTCTAGGATAGGGTCATTTCAGGTTCCCAATCCTCAGCTGCCCAAGGAACTAACTGGGAACCTCATCTTGGGCACTAGGGAGCCCCTCTAGGGTCAAGTCTCTTGCCCACCCTAAAGTGGCTCCCTTAACTAAGAATTGTGGTTCCGTGCTCCCCTATCCACCTTTCCTTTATCCCAATTCTCATGTTTCCCAGGTCCCCCCTCCTTCCCTTCTACCTTTTCTCTCCCCATCTCCCCTTACCCCCATCCCCCCCCCCCCCCGATCCCATTTTCTCCCCAGAAATTTGGTCTACTTCCCTTAGCCAAGAGGACAACTATATGTTTTTCTTTGGGTTCACCTTCTTCCTTTGCTTCTTTAGGTTCACCTATTGTTTATATAAATTCTTATCATTTAGTATGTTTTATTAGAATCTTGTCTCCCACTTCATCCCTTTTTTAAAGGGAACTTTATCGGTGCAGTCACCATTATTATCTTTGGTGTTTGTTTGTTTGGTTGGTTGGTTGGTTGAATGACTGTGCATTGTGCGTTGTGGCTCTATTGTATTTGATTAATGATTGTGTACTGTAACACATTTATGACCTCCTCTGTTGTTTGCTATTCTAATACTCTTCTAAATATAATTTGTACGTATTTTGTTGATTTTTAAAAATTCTTTAAATTTTGGCTCCTAAGGGGAAAAAAAGTGTGGGCTGGAGATGCAGCTCAGTTGCAGAGCACAGACTTGACATGTGTAGAGCTACATGGGTTGAAGTCCCAGTTCAAAAAGACAAAAGGAAGAAAAGGCAACTGTTAAGTTAAAGTTTGTTTCTAAGAGCTGAGCTAATTCCCAGCAGCAACAGCTGTCCGTTAGTGGTAGGCTTTGAAGCCTGCCGCTATTTCCTGTGTTCCCTGTTCTATTGTGTCTCTTACGCTCACAAAGCAGTGTGATTTTCTTTAGCTGTATCATGTTTGTACTCTTTTTTCCATCCAAGTTCCTTAGTGCTTTTACAGTTCTGCTAAGTATGTTATATGATATCGCAGTTGGTTTTATCTGTAATTTCTCGTGAATTTCTTTCTCAGTATTTGGCTTTCATAAGCCTATCTATCTTCCCTACTGCACTTCTGTTTCTTGTTGAGTTCATAGAAGGATAACCTTTCATATTAGATTTCTGTATTATCTTCTTACTTTAACTTGTTAGTCTCTTGTTGTTCCATCTTGCTCTGTGTGTGTTGTTCAGGCTGGTCACAAACTCACTGTGTAGCCCAGGCTGGCCTTGAGTTCACATACCCCTGACTTAAGATCTGGAATCACAGGGACATTCTTCTATGCCTAGCTATGCTTAGCTTTACTTTTAAATTCTTAACTTGGTTACCTAAAGTTTAAATTGACTTGTAGCATAAACTGTGACTCAAGACAACTTCCTTCATGTTGTTAAGTGGTGTTTTAAATGCATTAACAGAATGACTTATGCCTACAATCCCAGAAATCTGAGGATTGCTGTAAATTTAGGTTAACCTGGGCTGTGCAGCAAGACAGCATCTCAAAAAAATTAAAGAGAGTATTCTGTTTTTTATTAATTGGTTTTCCTACTCCTGGTTACCACATGTTTTTTTTTTTAGTTATAAAAGTTATGATGCTATCTATACTTCTCAGATTATATTATCTCATTGATCAGATTTGTTTTGTTTTATAACATTTTAATTGCTAGTTTTTCCATAATCTGTTCTTGTATTTGTTGGTAAAGTAGCCATAATCTTTTGCTAAATATTTTGAATTAGTTGGGGGAATACAAATTATAAATGTAGCGTATGCTACATTTAGTCTTATTCTTTCTCTTCTGTTTTTATTCAGGTACATCGGACACAACTACCTGGGAATATCCAGATGTCTGCAAACATTATTTTGGCTCCTTTGGGCAATGGTCAAGTCTCCTTTTTTCCTTAGTCTCTCTCATTGGAGCAATGATAGTTTATTGGGTACTTATGTCTAATTTTCTTTTTAATACTGGAAAGTTTATTTTCAGTAAGTATCGATATATTCTTTAACAAAGTTACCCTCAAATATCATTGTAATATTTTAGTTCTAGCCTTGCATTTTTATATGTAAAGTATATATAATCCCGGGTAATGCGCTTGATTCAGCTTTTCTATACTTTAAGATGTCAAATATCATATGTATAAGCATTAATTTTTTTACATTACATTAGAATAAGACTATATATATATATATATTGTTTGTTTTTGTTTTGTTTTTCTTTGCTTTGAATCAAGGTCCTTGAGTCTTTTATATACATTTTAGAATCAACTAACTTGTCAAATTCTAGAGCAATATAATTAGATTTTGAATGAAGTTGCATTGAATTTTTCAGTCAACATACCATAATTATTACTATTAGGCTATTGGCTTAGGATTAATAAGAATTGCATTAGACTTATTGTTGTGGAAAAAAAAACTGTACCAGGATATTGAGCTTTTCTATCCACGATCATAGCATAGTTTAAGTTTCTGTTTAATGTCTCTTAAATTTTTCTTGGTAAAAGTATTATCTACTTGTGAACACTTTTCTTGATACCTTAATTTGGTTTTGTAAATGTATTTTCAATTTAATATACAATACATACTTTTTGTTATTTAAAAATTTAAACATGTAGAAAATAAACAGAACAACATAAGGAATCCATGTTGGGTGGTGGTGGCGCACACCTTAAATCCCAGCATTCAGAACGCAGAGACAGAGATCTCTGAGTTTGAGGCCCGCCTGGTCTACAGAGTGAGTTCCAAGAGAGCCAGGACTGTTACACAGAGATACCCTGTCTTGAAAAAACAGCAACAAAAAACAAAACAAAAAAAAAACCAACTAAGGAAACAGAATCCACATGTTCCTGTCACTTAGCCTTATCAGCTGTCAACATTGTACTGGTCTAGAATAGTCTATAACAGGATTTTCTAACTCTCCCACTTTAAGAAAAATTAATACTCCTTGGGAACACTTTTTAGTCATTTTATTCTAACTGTCCCTCCAATGAAGTTTTAATACCACAGAAATCCCTTTTACAAAGTGTTTATCTACCTGTACATGTTTTTAAAAAGTTTTTTTCTCCCCTCAGGAATGAATTTTTCTTCTTAGTAATATCACATTCATTGAGAAACCACGGGCTATGCTGTGTCCCTCACTACTCTAATTCAAATATTGTTATAGCTATAATTTTTTTTTGTATAAAGCATGACCCTGTCTCAAAACAAACAGACCGACCACACTGTTTACCCATCCTCATACTCACATGCATACTGAGGCACTGACGGCACACGCCTTCATCTTTTGTACTTCCTTCCATCTAACTCAGCAGTTCTGGGAGTGATGACTACTATACAGCTGTAGCTTTGTAAGAGTATGTACTGTTCCTTATGAAAATGTTAAGTGATTTTCCAAATAGGCTTGGCCATGTACAGCTGTTGAGAACTTTACATAAAATATAGCTGTGCTGCTATAAATTAATTTAAATATAGGGGAAAATTCTATCTATCTTCTTTGCAGACTTTTTAAGTACCATTAATTCTATCTTTCAAGTAGCTTCCTTTTTAAGCCCTGGATTTTGTAAATGCTTCCATATGGGCCTATGAAGTAAATAACATTATCATTCCAGTAGGCAAAGAAAACTAAAAATGAAACTATGTAACTAAGAAATAGTTTGGGGTCAGTATACTCAACAATATTATATACAGTAAATAACCGTTTTTATGAACAGAAGACCTTAGGTGGTGATGGGACCTGACATGGTTCATTCATTGTGTAACTATCTTTGTCTTTTAGATTTCATTCATCACATTAATGACACTGACACTATACTGAGAACCAATGACAGCAACCCTGGTAAGTAGTGTGGAATTCAGTTTGTTTCCTTGTCCCCAATCCTGCTCCCAAAACTATTTGAAAATAGAATGCATAACTCCAAGTTAGGTAAATGATTGGGGAAAAATTGTTGCTATACAATTATTGGTGGTAGGTTTCAAAATAGATTTATTTTTAAAATAAATGCTTGAGTGTGATTTGGCGGTAGTGCATCTGCATGGCATGTGGGAAGCTCTGGGTTCGAGCCTTGGCACCATAAAGGAATAAGACTAAAAAGAGCATGGAAATACGCCCGTGAGATGCTCAGAGGGTGACAGGCCAACAGCCTGAGCTTGACCCCCGGACCCCAGGGCTGAAGGAGGAATTGCTCGACTGTGGCCTGTAAATGCATAACAGACAAGTTACAAATAAACAAATGCTAAAAGAGAAGAAGAGGCGAAGACAGAGAGAGGACAATCTCTTTCTCCAGACTCCCAGTTCTCAGAGGTTAACAGACTCTTAGGCTGCCTGAAGTGGGGTAACTGAATCATTTTGGATTGTTAAACTCAAAATTCTTCAGTTTTTCACTGGTGATCGGGGATTTCTGCTTTGAATTCCCTAACACATAGATTTTTTTTTCTTATTAAAAAAGAAAAAAAGGGGGTCAGTGAAATGGCTCAATAAGCAAAGGCGTTTTACCAGCACACCTGATGACCTGGGTTCAGTCCCAAGACCTACATGGTAGAAGGAGCGAACGGACTCTGACATGCTGTCCTCTGACCTCTGCACATGTGCCATGATGAACACACACACACAAATAATAAAGCTAATCAAATTTTTAAGAGAAAAAGCCTGTTATTTGGCCTTTGTATGGTCATTACTACCATACAAAGATATGATATGGTAGTGACTATACCTGCATGGAACGTCTCATATTACTGAGGTGACCATAAGCCCAATATTTCCTGTCCAACCATCGGGCCAAGGAACATTTTATGGGACTTTATGGGATCTTTCTCTTGTTCCTAATACAAGGGTATGCTACCTCAAAAGTGTTTTTTTCTTATTCCCTTTCACTGTTTATATTCAGGTGAAAGATTCCTAAGGCTCCTCTATAACCCTTTCCAGAAGTTGGTGTAACAGCTGAGCAGGCGCAGCCTTGGACACAGTGACTCTCTGGCCTGGGTCGTCCGATCTCTGACGTGGCGTTTGTTTGCCTTTGCAGTGATTTGTCCAAGCGCTGGGAGCAGTGGCCATCCTGACAACAGCTCCATGGCTTTCTACAATGACACACAAGTCCAGCAGTTTGAGAAGTGGTGGAATAAGTCCAAGACAGTGCCGTTCTACCTCATAGGGCTCCTCCTGCCACTGCTCAATTTCAAGTCTCCTTCGTTTTTTTCCAAATTTAACATCCTAGGTAAGATACTACTTTGTGGGACTTCAGCAGTGTGAATGGGGAGAGAGTCGCCTCCCCAGCTATTCAGATCTACTTAGTTTGTTCATTCATGTGATACTTTGATTTTGCTTTTCTATAAAGTTTGGGCACAGAAAAATGGACACGACCGTTTCAGGTGCCTTTTGCCATTTCAGGGTTGGTTTTCTTGATATGAATTACTCGGTTTCCCATTCTAACCTTCTTGAATAACTCACTTCCCGTGCAAGTACAGCTAGAGGAAATAGACTGAGGAGGAGACATCAAAATGGCTACTATAGGAATCCTTAGTTTTAAAGTGTGAAAACATAGGAACTTCCTGTGTTCTATTTATGAGTGTTACATAGCGAGGCCTGGTAACACAACCACTAATCGTAAGCACCTGGAAGACAAAGGCAGGAACTGGAGTTCAAGGTCATCCCTGGCTACTGAGATTAAGGGGGTAGAGGGTAACTGCACAGAATTGTCATCTAACTTTAAACCTAAGATATCATTTTACCACTGCTTTCTGGGCAGCCTGCTCTACTGCTGAGCCCCACTCCAGCCCTAGGTTGGCTTCTTATTCTGCGTTTGTGCCCTTCCTGAGTTTTTGTTTCCTAGCACAGTGGCCTCCAAAAGGAATAGACCTCTGTGCATGTCTCCTGTCTTGCAGAAATCTCCAAAGGAATATTTTGACCCTACTTAATGACGAAAAGACCTTCAGTGGAAGCCCAGATCTGGTTAACTAAAGGAAATCTGGAGATAGCACTTACAGAGACTTGTTGGACTCAGTCTGTAGGATTTTACCTCCCCTCTGAAGCTCTCCAGTAGGCAGCTGCAGTGCACAATAATCAGATTCTCCATCATATCAAGGAACTAGGAGGAACAACATCAAAATGTAGCCAGGTTCCCAAGAGATGAAAGGAAGGGGTAAAGATAGGTCTCTCCAGCCTGTTTCCCTCAGAGCAGGACACTGTACGGCAGCATGAACACGGAGAGAACGAGCTGTTACATAAGCTTGGCGTCCTGTCTTCATCTTTCTGAATCAGCTAATCTCTAAACCCACAGTCCGGTTTATAGAGCTCTTTGTGGTTTCCTGACTTGCTGCAGACTTTCCAGTGGAACAAGTCTTTCACAAGCATGTGAACTTACAGGAGGTTTGCTCAGTGAGACCTCGTGGTCCTCAGACTTCCAACCAGGCTTCAGGACATTCTGCTGTTGTCCTTTCTCAGAGCAGTAGCCTAGGGGCCTTCAGGAGCAGGTCTGATTGACCTCCACAAAGACTGCATCTCCTTCCTCAGGAGGAGGGGTCTGGGTTAGAGATGTAGCTGACCAAGTGAGCACTTGCCTAGTAGTGTACAAACAAGGCTCTGAGTTTTATCCCCAATGCTACAAAAATACTACAAAAAAAACCCCCATTTTTTAATTAAAAGATAACAGTCCTCTGCCGGGCGGTGGTGGCGCAGGCCCTTAAGCCCAGCACTCGGGAGGCAGAGGCAGGCGGATCTCTGTGAGTTCGAGGCCAGCCTGGTCTACAGAGCTAGTTCCAGGACAGGAACCAAAAAGCTACGGAGAAACCTTGTCTCGAAAAATCAAAAAAAAAAAAAAAAAAAAAAAGATAACAGTCCTCTAATGTCTACACCGCTCACAGTTCTGTGTGGCAGAGCCTCCCGGAGATGCTAGCTCATTTGTTCACCTTTTTCGGATGTTTGCTATTTTTATCTCTTTACTTCAAATTAACTTGGCAGACTTTTCCAGTGTGTTGGGCATCTCCCAATACCTAAAACAAAATAAGTTGGTTTCATGTTTTCTTCTCTTGTAAAACTGACTTTTATAATAGATTCTGCTTGTTGCTGTCACTGAATTCCTAAGTTAACTAAACAGTTCCCAGTCAGTGAGCATGCGTGAGGTTCCTTAGGCTTACTACCTAATATTTTGATTTACTTTCTGATAACTCACAAGGCTTAATTTATTAATTTATTATTATTTAGAATATAGCTGGGTTTTTTTTAAATAAGATTAACAAAGATAATTTCTCCAGTCCTGATTTTTAAAGCAGTCTGTAGGATATACAAAGATGCTCAGTAGTTTCTGGTTTGTTTGTCTGTCCCTTACAGGCACAGTATCCGTCCTCTATTTGATTGTCCTTGTTACCTTGAAGGCTATTCACTTAGGATTCCATCTGGAATTTCACTGGCTTGTGCCAACAGAATTCTTTGTACCAGGTGAGTTTGTCAAAATAAGAAATAATTGAATAACAATAATGTGTTCTTTAAGTTAATCCCTATGAAACATTAGTCTAAAACAGGTAATACAAGGTGATTGATTGCCCTCACCTGCCAATTCCAGCATTTGGGAGGCTGAAACAGAGGACTTACCTTGAGTTCTAGGCAAGCCTGGGTCATAGAGTGAGACACTACCTCAGAAAAACAAGAATGAGTAAATAAAACAAAACAGGATTATGTTTGGTATTTCTGGCAGTGAGGGATAACCAGGGCTCTATCATTTTTTAATTGACATTTGAAGTCCATTTAATTTATAATGCACTTGAAAAATGAAAAACTTCTTCTCTAGACTTTTCTAAGGAACATTTGCTTAGACGATCAGAGATGTGGAGCATTGTTATGCATGTTGGTAATACTGCTCATTAGAACCACTGTTCCTGGCTGGGCATGGGGCAGACACTTTCTGTTCTCAGGAGGCAGAGGCAGGTAGGATTGCTGTGAGTTCCAGGCCAGACCCTGTATCAGAGAGAGAGAGAGAGAGAGAGAGAGAGAGAGAGAGAGAGAGTGTGTGAGAGAGAGAGAGAGAGAGAGAGAGAGAGAGAGAGAGAGAGAGAGGTGTCATTGTTCCCCTTATGGGCTTTTCTGTAATTTTATTGTTTTTCAGGTTAAGATTATGGTTATTAAATGGATTTCCGCACCTGTCTCATATCTCCTCCTGATTATAATGTGGCAATTTAGTTAATTTAGTTTCCCCCAAATTTAAAATCTATAGGAATTTTTAAAAAGCACCAATAAAACAATGAGTAAATGACTGAATTTTACTAAAAAGAAGATAGATTAAAAAGTGACCATTACTGTGTTGGCCTCGGAAATCTGGGGAATGCATGTTTCCTGAACGCCGTGCTACAGTGTTTGAGCTGCAGAAGGCCTCTGTGGTACTTTAGTCTTCAGAGGGACTTCCGGCAAGAGATGCCCAGAGAAGGCCGAGCCCAGGAGCTCACAGAAGCCTTTGTAGACATAGATGCCGTGTGGTACCCTGACTCCTGTGAAACTATGATTCCTATTCCATTCCGGAGTCTTCCATAAATACATTGCCTCCTTCTCTGGATACAGCCAGCAGGATGCCCAAGAGTTCTGGAAGCTCCCCATGCAGCGGTTGACCCTTGAAACCAGCCGATGAGGCCGCTGAGCACCACCAATCCCAGCCAGTGGTCCAGTTCCCTCTCCACCTCTCTGGGGAGGGTTCTGAGTGAAGAACCTGAATTAAGTGATAATGACTTGAATGTGGAAGTACTCCCTGGAGCGAGCAGACAGCAAGATTGCGGGCCTATTTGTGGGATAGTTGAAAAGTTGCCTCAAGTGCCCGGCCTGTGGGTATCACACCTTCAAGGTTTTCTGTGAACTGTCTCTGTTCATCCCCAAGAAAGGATTTGCTGGGGCAAAATGTCGCTGAGGGAGTTTCAGCGTTTTCACCAAGGAAGAAAAGCTAGAGGCAGGACTAGTTCTGATCAATGCCGCAGAAACACAAAGTACTAAAGAGTTGACAGTACGAAGATTCCCCGGGGGGAAGTGACTGTTACAAAAATATCTTGAAACTAATCATTGAGAAATAGTACTCGATTCTATTGTTGGTTTAGAAAGACTGCTTTCCTTCTATTCTTCAATCATTAAGAAGCCTAAAATTTCAAGTCACCATTGAGTGTCTGGTCTTCCTGATTCTCGTAGTTGGAGCTATTTAGCACCTATTTCTTTGTTATAACCTTCCTAGATTTTCTTTTTTTTTTCTTTTTTTTTTTAGATTTTCAAGATGTATTGAGTAGGTAGTCACTGAAAATTGTTGATTATGTTACCATGGCTACTTTTTTCAGAACACTTGACTTTATTAGCTTTGATTTTCCAAAGCCCTGAGCCTTGAAAGGGCATTTTTCCTTCCAAGATTATGTGGTGGTGCACACCTTGAATCCCAGTACTAGGGAGACTGAGGCAGCTGGATCTCTTTGAGTTTCAGAACAGCCAGAATAGAAGAGACCCTGTCTCTAAAAAAGGCAAAAAAAAAAAAGAAAAGAAAAAAAACTGATGAAAAGGACAGTATTGAATTTTCCCAATGATTGGTAAAAATAGTCCTGGATATTGTTTTTTTAATATTATGTCTATTGTGATTTATTAAGCATTAGTGAGGAAAGTTTCTACTAATGATAATAAACTAAAAATAGATACCTGATGGGGCAAAGGACTCAAATTTGATTTCAGCACCTTCACAGAGTCAACAAGCACCGACCTGTAACTCCAGCTTCAAGGGACCAGTCAGTGTTCTGTGGGTGCCTGTACTCAAATGCACACACTGACACACAGGCACAATGACACATAATTAAACAGAAAATAAATATATTTTTAAAAATGTATAATCAGGGTGAATAGTTATCTGGGAAACAGAAAAGAAGAAATTCTTAAGTAGGTGGTAAATCATTCATTTTCCATTATCCAATTTTATATGGAATGAAGGGGAAATAATGAAGATTAAACAAGGCACATTTTCCATTAGGAGTCTAAAATTAATACATTGTGATTAAAGACTGTGTGAAGAATGAAATATTTCCTAAGTGCTTTCTGAGAGGCTATTAAAAAACTCGGAGAACATTGGAGAGGATAAGCCTTTACTGTCCTCATGAAAAGTCACACCATTTTACAAATCCGATTGATCTTTATGTGTTCTTGTTTCTTCTACAATTACGTATTACATTTGTTTCCTTATACACCTAGCACAGCATGTGTGTGGAGGAGATCCCAGGACAGCATTTGAAAGTCAATTCTCTCCTTCAGCCTGTGGACTACTGGTTGTCTTAGGGTTTTTACTGCTGCAGTGAACATCATGACCAAAAAAGCAGTTCGGGGAGGAAAGAGTTTATTCACATACATTTCCACATCACTCTCCACCATCAAAGGAGGTCAGGAAAGGAACCTGGAGGCAGGAGCTGATGCAGAAGCCATGGAGGAGTGCTGCTTACTGGCTTGTTTCCCCTGGCTTGCTCAGCCTGCTTTCTTAGAGAACCTAGGACCACCAGTCCAGAGATGGCACCAACCTCCATGTACTGGGGCCTCCCCCATCAATCACTAAGAAAATGCCTTACAGTTGGATCTTATGGAGACATTTTCTCAACTGAGCCTCCTTCCTCTCTGATGACTCTAGCTTGTGTCAAGTTGACATAAAACCAGCCCGTGCATTGGGTGTGGAACTCAGGTTGTCAGTCTTAGCAAGAGTCTTTCTTCACCTGATGACCATCTCTCTTGCCCAGTATTTTTATTTCAAACTTTTGCTTTTTAATACATCTGTCATCAACTTTTCTCTCAGGTAGTAGTTGGGGAAAGAAGTATTTATTCTGCTCTCTTACAAATGCAAAGACTTTTATCCCCTAAGTAATGTCATGCAACCAACTGGCTTTCTGTATTGTCTGTACAGTGACCAATGCTAATTTTATATTTCCAGCTGAGATCCCTCATGAAGTCCATTCTCATGTCCAACTCACACCTTCTCTTTCTCTACTTCGATGTCTATGGATGTGTCAAGCTCAGATGGGCAAAGACCAAATACTTGTTATATTCATTTCAGTGTCCATCCCTATCCACCAACATGCTTGACTTGCTCTTCTCTGAGCCTCCTTCACCTTAAAAGAAAGGCTGTAGTTTCGGGTGCTCTGGTCAACACTGTATAGTTTTTGACCATTCTCCATCCACACCCAATCCAGCTGCAGAGTGCGTCTGTTTTATTTTTTAAATCAGTTAAGAATCTAACTTCTTATCATCTCCACTGAAAAGAACTTTGTCAAGCTATTAATCTCTTGCCTGGATTATTATAGTGCCCCCTAGTTAATTTTGTCTCCCCCACCCTAAGCTATTCTACACCCAGCAGCTAGAGTTATACTTGTAAAACAACCCAAGCTAGTGTGGTGGTGCATGCTTGTGGTGCTGGCCCTTAAGGGATCTGGAGTTTAAGGCCAGCCTGAACTACATAGTAAGACCTGTCTTAATGCAAAAACAAAACAAAGCTCAAACCAGAACCCACAGAACTCTTTAACGATTTCCCATCTCATTAAGAATGATGGCTTATTTATCATAGTCCTTGGATCCAGTCTGACCTGACTCATAATCCCCACCGCTTTCCCTCTTACTCACCAACTCCAAGCGCACTGGCCTCCTTGCTGTTGTATGACAATGCTGAGCATTCACTGTTCCCTGTGTATGAGGTGCCCTGTTCTCTCGGATGCACAGTCTTCTCTGACAACCTACCCACTTCCAGGCTGCTTGAGACTTTTCCTTAAAGCTCTTATCAGTACTAGCCTTATAGCAAGCATCTGTGATGTCTGTTAGTAATTCCTGATTCTAATGCGTTAGAGTCTTGGGGGCCCCAAATTATTCTAATCCATTTGGCTCCTGAGCTCCCCAAAGTAGCAATAAAAAGGGATTTATCCAGAAATGTTTCTAAATGTTTTGGATTCTTGAATATAGATATCAAAAATTCATTTTTTGTTTATGTATCTACCTCGTTTAACTGGAACATTACTCTCTAAGAAAAGGAGTATTACTTATGTTCTTTAGACTTCTGTATTACTGCTGTATCCCCAAATTTTATAATACTTCCTGCCGCACACTGAGGGCTAATAAGGAATAAGTGTTGAGGGTCAGTGAAATAGCTCAACAGGTAAAGCCACCTGCTGTGTTCAGTCCCCAAGACCCACACCATACAAGGAAAGAACCAGCTCCATCAAGTTGTCTTCTGACCACCACACACACACACATACACACACACACATACACACACATGCTCGTGCACACTAACAAAAAGTAAAAATGTAAAGAAATAATTATTGAATAAGTAAGTGTGTTTGACTTCCTCCTAGTCCCATTCAAATGAGAGTGAATAGAGACACCATGAAGGGTGAACTAGGAAAAGTAGGGACAGGCCAAATGGGAAGCAAGAACAGACTGCTAGAGTTAGACAGCGGTCTTAGGTCTTTTCTTTTCCTTTTATTTATTTATTTTTTTTTTAAAGAAAATAATCTTTTTTCATTTTACGTAACAATCCCACTTCCCACTCCCATTTCCTCTACCTACCCCCCCCACCTCCCCGAGGACTCCTCAGAGAGGGTAAGGCACATTGCTTTGGAGAAGGTCCAAGGCCCCCCCTACTATATCTAGGCTGAGCAAGGTATCCATCCAAAGAGAATAGGTTCCAAAAAAGCCAGTACATGCAGTAGGAATAAATCCTGGTGCCACTGCCGGTGGCCCCTCAGTCTACTTCAGCCATGCAACTGTCAACCACATTGGCACAAGAGACCACTTCCTAAATATAACCCCAGTAGCACAGACACTGAGAGCAACAATAAATAAATGGGACCTCATGAAACTGAGAAGCTTCTCTAAAGAAAAGGACACAGTCAATAAGACAAAAAGGCAGCCTACTGAAAGGGAACCCCACATCAGACAGAAGACTAATCTCCAAAATATACCTGTCTCGAAAAACCAAAAAAAAAAAAAAAGGCCGAAAGGAGATTGCTAAGTGAGAAGTTGGAGAATTCTTAGAGGTATGCCATGCACAGTTAAGGCCTGAAGTAACATGACTCACTTAGGAAATTATGAGAATTTGAATGGCTCGATTGAAAGAATACTTGTTGAAAAAAATGGTAGGAAGTACTAAAAAACAAGAACTGGACTGAAAAGCCTTCTCTTTTAAGCTAAATATAACTCTAAAGGCCAGTTATGACTCTCCCCTCCTCCTCCCACACTTGCAAGATAGGCTTTTATGTCCTTAGAAGGCCAGTGGGGAGAAGGAAGAATAGTCCTACAGTGCTCTGCTTCGAAACAGAATTTGTAGGGAGGCTGCCATGATGAAATGCTGCCCACAAAAGGATGATGTCAGGAGTGCCTTCCCTCCTCCCAGTCACTCTCAGTCAACAGAGGAACACTGTCAGAACCTTTTGGGCTGGGGTCCCGCTGCTCATCCAGGGCTTGCTTGCAAGAGGCCTTGGATTTGGTCCTCAACACTGCATAAAACTGAATATGGTGGCACAAGCCTCTAACTGCAGAGAGGTAGATGCAGGAGGATCATGAAGTTCAAGGTCATTCTCAAGTACATCGTGAGGTTTGAGGCTAGCCTGGGCTACATGAGATCCCATCTCAAAACAAAAAGAACCTTAGGATGTAGCATAAACAGCACAGATAACTGCAAACTTGATAGTAAGTGATCCAGGGCTCAAATCCCTTCTACTGCAGTCAAATCCTGTTTTCTCATACACTTCCAACACCAACTGGATTGATTTCAGTTCCCCAGTAAGCAAGTACCAGAATAGGGTCAGAAGAGCAGGACATGTATAAGAGCAACACTTCTGCAAAATTAAAGGATTGGGAGCAGGATTAAGCCTGGTTGGGATATGTACGAAGGAAGAGAAGAGAAAGAAATGAATTCAACAGAAGTAAATTCAGAACATCCTGGCCAGCCACTATGGCCCTCAATGCAAATATTGCCTCTAGAATAGGGTTACACAAATGTGCCCAAACACTAATACACTGCAAGCTCAGGGTTGGCTACTCGCTGTCCAGTGGGAATATGACTGGTATAGGATCAGGGCAGTGGACATCGGACGGCTGCAGCCAGAAGCCATCAGCTAACAACCTTGCTTATTTTCTCGCTTAAAGGGAGACGGCATGTTGTCCTTCCACGGTGTATGTCAGAGTACTTTAATATACACAGAAATGAAAGTAATCCTAGGCCAAACTAATGTCGGTTTTGCTAATGTGGGTAGGATCATTTAATTTGTTTTCTTACAGCTTCTAACCCGTTATTATATACAGAGATGTTGATGGGGCAAGGCAGCCTTTGAGACAGGATCTCCCTTTGGCCCAGGCCAATCTGGAATTTGCTAAACAGCCCAGCCTGGCCCCAGACTCAGCCTCCCAAGTGCTAAGATTACAGACATGAACCACTATGATTGGTGATTTCTCTTTCCTACTTGGCTGCTTTACTTTGGATCCCAGCTAAAGAGTTATTTCTCTGTTAAAAATATCAGCAAGTAAATCCATCTGCACATGATTTTGTCATCATTGTCAAAAATAGTGCTTTTGTCATCGTGATGTGTAATGCTGTTGTTAACTAGCCATGATCTCAGTTTATTGGGTGTATTAGAAAGATTACTATAACAAAATATTTTCAAAAACTAACAGGAAGAATTTGCCTATATTGTGAGTGGCATTCACAGATAAAAAAATATATGGATGAAAGCTGACAGACAGGAAACATCATAGCAAACAGAATAAGCCAGACATAGTGATTCATGCCTGTGACCTGAGTATTGAACTCAGGAGGCTAGACAGTGAGAAAAAGCAAGCAGAAAGGAAGCAAAACCATATACTTTTATTGGCCTTGCCTTCTGATTTTCTTTAGAGCTGGTGGTTGATTCTTAGTGGCCACACTTCCTTTCCTGAAAGAGCGCGGCCAAGAGCCAGTAGACCTTTGCTGCCGTTCTGCTCTTTACCCCCAGCTGTCCCTGAGATGGCTCTCTACTTGGCCACTTGCTTTGCCTACCAATACTGCTAAGTAGATTATAGCCTGGTTCCACATTAGCTAATCGTTTCATTTCCTTATTACCTGCCTCCAAACAGTGGTTCTAGATAGAATACTATTTTTTAAATAACTGTATTTATTATAGATAATTAAATGGCTATATTTAAAATAAATCCTGTCAACCAGAGATAGCCATTCTTATCAACGTCTTTTCTTGAGCACATAATTACAGCTGTTTATGTGTATTTTAAAAAACAAAAGCAAATTAGACTTGACATGCTGCTTGACTCCAACATTTGTCCTGGTGTTAAATCTCAACAGCATACTTTTTAAATACTGTATCCCACTGCAAACTGTATCTCAGTTTAACCAGGAATATTTTTATGTTATGCATTTTAGACTTGTCACCCAAGACTCTTAAGTAGCTATTTCTCTCCTCTGTGATTTCTTTTCCAGAAGAACTTTCCCAGCAAGCTCAGGTATTAGGAGACTGGAAGATTTTTTTAGTCCTAGACAGACCCTGAATTTAAATCTAGTTGTGGGACCTCAGCTAGGGATAACTGAGAGGAAGTCACAGAATGTACATCCCTTAATTCCATTTCTTCCTCTTCCAAGTGCTTTGACTAAGTGTAACGCTCACCTTGAGGGACTTTATAAATGCTTGAATATTCTTATTCCCTGGGGCAATGATGATGATGATGATGGTAGTGATGATATAAGAGAAAACTGATGATTAGTGAATGCTAATACTCATTTTATGCTTGTCATTTTTGTTTCTTTTTCTCCTAGAGATAAGATTTGAGTTTCCACAGCTGACCGGAGTGCTCACTCTTGCTTTCTTTATCCACAATTGTATTATCACACTCATGAAAAACAACAAGAACCAAGAAAATAATGTGAGTAGTTAACTGAGAAACTGGCCTTGATATTTCCTAAGGGTAAACTCCAACCAATGTTTGATGCACTTTTATTTTATTTGCGATTTGTTTTTGTATCTTAATTTTTAAGATTAAATTATAGATCAGTGGTCAAGCATATGAAACTTTTAGATGGTAACTCTTTTAGACTTTGCAGGCTATATGTTCTTGTCACAGCTACCCAGTCCTGCTGTTGTGGCATGAAAACAGCCACAGATAATAGATAAACAAATGGGTGGTGTAGATTTGACCCACAGACCCAGACTGCTGTCCTCTCTCTCTCTCTCTCTCTCTCTCTCTCTCTCTCAAAAGAGGTATAGCTAATAACTCTCCAATAATAATAATAAATGAGGACATTAAAGAAGACAAGCAAAGGGGAACAAAAAATACGTGTGGAAAAGAAACTAAATAGCAAGCTAGTAGATTTAAACCCAGTTACATTGATAATTACACTAAATATAAATGGCCCAAGTACTACAATGAAAAATTGTCATTTCTGCTTTAAAAAATGAAGATATGGCATCATTGAGAAACTTTAAATATAAAGATATAGCTTTTGAATACTATAAGAAACTAGAGCACCTGTGTTACTTGCAGCACAAATGATAATGCCAGAGGCAATGAGGAATGATTATATTGTGGTCCTTTGGACTAATTCGCTTGGAAGTACCAAGGTGGCATATATAAAAATCTGCATTTGAGTAAGTGCCCTAATGGGAATAAGTGCACCCTGTGTATGAATTAGATCTGGCCATTTACTAAAACTATAGAAATATTAGTTAGCAGTACATTTATTCTTAGTTACTCATAATGTAACATTATAAATACAGTACTAATTATTGATACTGTTAGATCATAATGTTCTTATTTGCTTGTGTTTTCTGTTTACTTCGCTTTAATATCAGGCTATACAGAAATTGTGCATTGAAATACAATTGTTCTCTCTTGTAAAAAGAGAAAAAAAGAGAATATAATAATTCTGACTCTATAGTCACCCAGTGCTAGAACTTTAAATTACGTGAAGTGGACCTGCAGGATGGCAGTAGGTAAATGTGCTTGCTGCCAAGCCTGACAACCTGAGTTTAGCCCATGGGATCCACATGGTGAAAGAGAGAACTGACCTTGGAGAGTTGTCTTCTGACTGTCACACACTGTGGCATGTGTGTGCTCATACACACAAACAGAAACACACACACACACACACACACCGCTAAATAAAATGTAATTAAAATAAATGAAGTAACAACAAACTGAAAGTAAACAAATCCACAATTGTAACTGGAAATATTCTTCCTTCCTTCTCAACAACTGGTAGAACAAATGACAAAAAAATTACAAGTGTAAGAAGCATGAAAAATACCATGAACCTACTTGATCTAATTGGCATTTATAAACGTCCTTTTGGTATGAGAATGTAAGTTCCTTTCAAATAGACAGGAACGCCTACTAAGATATGGTACATGCGTGGTCACAAAACAAGTATTAATAAGTGCAAAAGAAAATTATGCCAAGTATGTTCTCTAGCCATAAAGGAGTAAAAATACAGACAAACAGCTGACATTTGGGAATTTACAAATAAATGAGTTAACCAACATCTTCCTACATAACCAGTGAATCAAGGAAGAAGTCACAAAAAAATTGAAGGTTACTGAAAAAATGAAAATTCAGAATATCAAATTTATGGAATTGTCCCTAGAACTATTCTTAGAGGGACATTTACAGCTATAAATACCTACATAAAAAGTAAAAATGTGAAATCAAAGCCTAACCTTCCTTCATGTCCCAAGTGCTGGACAGAAAGACCAGGATTCAGGGTCATCTGCTACTATGTAATGAGTTCGAGGCCAGCCTGGACTGTGTGAGACCAAGGTTTGTTTAAAAAAAAAAAAAAGTTTACTAGCAAAGTCATTTGTTTTTTAGACAAGATCTCATTATGTAGCTTGACTGACCTGAAACTCACTTAGACCAGGTTAGCTGGAACTCTCAGTGTTCTGCCTCCTGAATCCTAGGATTAATAGGGAATTAAGTTGCAGGCATGGTTCACATTGCATGGTCCCTACACGCACAAATTTAATTACTGTGGTTCACATTACAAGCCCTGATAATGGTTCACATTTCAGTTAGCCCAGGATTTGAATTATGAGCCTTGCGTAGAAGAATAGTCACTGTCCTTGGCTCACATATTGTGTAAATAGCAAATGTGCTCATGATTAGTGACAGATCACATCACTGCTTTCAAATTCAGCCAGCGTTTGGTCACTCGCATGCCATTCACAGTCTACAGGCAGATAATTGTGTCAACAAACATGATACTTGTTTGTAAAATTGATAACTGAAAAGGGTGAGATGTGATCATCAAAAACGGCAATGGTGAAATGAAATTTCATGCAGACATACATAGAGTTCTAAAAGAAATAGCTTCTTATAGAAATGTTGAGGCCGCTTCCATCTGAGACTCCAGATACACAGCAAAGGAGTTTAGGGAAAGGACATTTGGAAACCGGTTTTCAAGACAAGAAGAAAGATGGCGCACAGCAGAAGTGACAGTCAGAAAACTTCACATTTGGAGAATTCTTGGAGACATCTCACAGTATTGAAAGCACAAGGGTTTTTACCCTTGTGAAGCCATTGCAAGTTAGAAGCCATACAAAGTTAGAGTATGACCTCACTGAGGTCCTGGAAAGATGCTTGCTACATATCATGAATCATTCACTGATGGAGGAAGGTCATTGGTTAAATAAAAAGAAACTGCTTGGCCCTCATTGGTTAGAAGATAGGTGGGAGGAGTAAACAAAACAGAACGCTGGGAGGAAGAGGAAGTGAGCTCAGACCCCACAGCTCTCCTCTCAGGAGCAGACGCCTCAGAGAGACGCCATGCTCCCCGCTCCCGGGAAGATGCACACGATGAAGCTCCGACCCAGGATGGACTTAGGCTAGAATCTTCCCAGTAAGACCGGTGCTACACAGATGATTAGAAATGGGCTAGTCCAGGTGCGAGAATTAGCCTAGAAGAGGCTAGATAGAAATGGGCCAAGCAGTGATTAAATGAATACAGTTTGTGTGTTGTTATTTCGGGCATAAGCTAGCCAGGCAGCCGGGGTGCTGGGGACGCAGCCCCGCCGCTCCTCTTACAACAATTCACTAAAAAGAGGCAAGTGTTAGTCCAGCCTTGCTCCTCACATCTGCAGTCCAACACTAGGGAGGTGGAGGCAGAAGGGTCAGGAATTCAAGCTACATAGTGAGTCTCAGGCCAGCCTGGGCCCAAGAGATCTTATACCTAAAATCCAGGTCAGGGAGAGGGAAGTGTAGTTCAAACTAGGCTTACGTTTAAAAAAAAAAAAACAAAACATTTGGCCAGGCAGTGGTGGCACAGACAAATCTCTGTGAAGTCAAGGCCAGCCTGGTCTACAAGAGCTAGTTAAAAAAAAAACTACAGAGAAACCCTGTCTCAAAAAACAAAACAAAAAACCAGAAAGACATTCTAATGTTCAATACTTCTGATTCATTCATTTATTTATTTGTTCATTTATGGCAATGCTAGGTATTGAACCTAGGGCTCTATGCATGTAGGCAAGTGCTATACCATTAAGCTACATTCCCAGGCCCTTTGTTGCTAATTTTTTAAATTACAATGCTAAATAAGCACTTTAATATTTTTCATTTCCTTCTCCATTTGTAGCAAGTGTGGTTTAATGTTTTGGCAAAATTTGTCAAAGCTTACACAACCGTCATAATTTCTGTCTCCTTCCCCGCTTTGGGTTGCACGCTACCCTGTGCCATATTGCACTGCATATGGAGACGGCCAGTGCTTAACTTCTGCTCCCAAAAGTCTCAAGTAGAACTGATTTTCTAGAAAGTCAGGCCTGTTTATTTAGAAGGGTGCATGCCTCTTTGTGGGAAGCTGAGAACTGGAAAGAGAATTGGGTGCCTTGGTTCCGTGCCCCAGGGCTGCGGAGGTCTCTGTCTTCCTGGAACAGTCAGGAGCCCACTGATGTAGGTCATTGTACTGCACCTGCTTAGCACGCGTGAGGCGTGAGTATTGGAGCCAGCAGCCCTTGAACAGGTAGAATGCTGGACACCGTGAGTTTCTCCTGCTGAGCTGGTCAGCCAGGGCTTTGTAAAACTAGTACAAATATTAGGTGTACAAATAAAATCTTTCGTCAGCTTTGGTCACTTATGGAAAATATTTTTTTAAAAGAAAGACTTAAAAAGTGTTTAAATGGATTTTTTATTTTTATTGCCTTAATTAAAACATTAGTATGAAGTGATGGTCTAAATTTTAAAGTTTTTTTTTCTTTTAGTTTTCTACAACTGTTTATTGTGTGTGTACAAATGTCCCATGTACGCTTAGAGGTTAGAAATCAACTTTGGGCAGTGAGTTAGCTCTTCCATCATGTGGGTCCTGGGGACCGAGCGGAAGTCATGAGGCTTCACAGCAAGTGCCTTTACTGCTGGCCCTGCTCTAACTTTTTTTTTGTAAAAAGCAGTCGTACTTTATTTTTAAGTGTTAATTACTATGAAGAAAATGAACATTTCTGAAGTGCTATGTGCCAGCAGCATCCTAACCACTCTAGATTTATGTAAATATATAGTCTTGCTTATACTGAAATTGGCTTTTATATTGGCATATATTAAGCTAAACAGACACTGTATTATTTGAGTTATCTAATAATTACACCTTTTAAGGACTTTCACTAAATAATTTAACTTAAAATGTCTAGTTAATAGTGAGATACAAAATTTGGAGGGGATTAAAGTCAGAAAATCTGAGAGTTGTGAAGACATTTGAAAGTAGAAGGCTGGGTCTTTCTCACCAGTGTTCCCGAAGCTGGACCTGACCCTTCCCTCCCAGGTACTTGTGAAGGGCCATGAAGCCCTCACCAGCTGCACTGCACTGGCCAGATGGTCCAGCTTCCCAAGTTTGACGTCCCTTTCTGAACTTTTGTCACTAAATGTAACATTGTTTATGTAGCTCTAAACCTACCATTTCTATTCCTTAAAGCACCCTTGACCAGGAAAACATTAGGGGGTTGACAATGAGCTTATCATCAAAATCCATAGTCTATGTGGGTGTGTGGACTGCACGCGTCCTGACAGTTCTGGTTGGGTCAGGCCTTCGCAGAGCTTTCTGTACAGCTTTGTTGTTGATTTAGTTACCCAGCTCTGATCTTTAAAGTGATTCAGCATGTCTTCTGTCCCATTTGCTGTTACTTTTTTCTTCTTGTCTGAGTCTGTAGATGCTTGGGTACAAGTCAGAAGCTTTTATGGAAAAGTTTGGGTAGATCTGTATGGCTGTTGTCTGTCCTTTTTCTTATGGAATGCTCCACAGGGTAGTATTTTCACTGTGAACAGTTCATGGAACAAGTAAACTGTGTTTGACAAACAGACGTGTTCTCGGGGTTACTTTTGACCTTATTGTAAATCTAAGTCCTTGTTCGGAGTTGACGTTCTACCTGTTCTTAGTTCTTCATCTTCCAGACGTTGCTTATTTATGAGGCAGAGTAGGGTGAAGGCTTCTTGACACAGACGTATTAGCACCTCATACTGTGCTTTTATCTCTTTTTAAACATACTCTTTGCTTAGAGCCTTTCTCCCCAACCCCCACCTTTAGGACAGGGTCTCAGTGTAGCCCAGGGTGACCTCAAAGTCACTACGTAGCTGAGGATAACTTTGAACTCCTGATTCTCCTTTATCTCCCCATTGTTGGGATTACAGATAGCTAGCTACTATCATAGTCATTATACCGAATTTCCCAGAAGATCCTTTCTCCTACCCTTTTCTTTGAGTTGGGGTTTTAGGAAGCTGCATGTTGGGTCCAGTGCAGAGATGACACGGGCTTCAAAGAATAGCAAGCCCCCAGTATGAGCATGATCCTACTGGGCGGCATGGTTCCCAGATCCTGCTGGGCCTCTGCTGCTTGAAAGCAAAAGCATCGTTTTTGTTCATCAGTGCTTCTGTAGGAAAACAGACCCCCGGCTCCTGTCATCATTGTAGCTAAGTGCACACAATTTGGCACCAGAAAGACCTTGTTTGGAAGCTGGATATTGGCTTCACCAAACTCCTCACCATGTAAGTTTTGTGACTTATGCTCATCTGTGAGGAAATGGACTGCAGCTACATTAGAAGGTTTCTGAGGCCCAGATGAGATGGCAGGCAGCGCTTAGCACAGATGCCAGCATCTAGGAGTAGTTAACAGATGTGTGTATTTATCTGTATTGAGTCCCTGCCATCATTACCAGGGTGTTGCCCGACAAAGCACACAATGCCCAGGTGGGTAAAGGGCATGGAGAAGAACCACTCGAGACAGTTTCAGGGAACAGCAGGTGCTTTTTTGCATGTGAGTGACTACTTACACTGTGGAAGCCTATGGACTGTGATTGGTTAGCATATTACCTCGGATTGGATAGTGAGTGCTCAGAATACCAGGGTCTCTATGGGGAGAGACATGGAGAGTGCAGGCATGTCCACGGCCAACTACTTCAGAGTTCAGTGTGCCAACGTCTGGGGCATGGTGTGCCATGCTTCTTGTTCAGAAACACAGTGTACTAGGTGGGCTGGCTGCCAGGTCATGCCTGCATCTTATCTTACAAGTTCCTGCTATATCCAGTGTTGTCCTAGGCATTGGGAATATAAGACAAAAAAGACACAGTCATTGTCTCCAGCACCTCATAGCCCAGTGGTATAAATCTATCTAGAGAAAAAATTATGATAAAGTAACTATTAAACTTGACTATTTTTTTATCTTTTTTAATGTCAAGGGACATCTTTCCACTCAAGAACTTCTTTCAAAAAATTGATTATTTTGGGAACTGGAACAATGACTCAACCTTTAAGTGTGTGAATTATTCTTGCAGAGAGCCCAAATTCAGTTCCCAGCACCCACATTGGGCAGCTGACAACTACTTGTAAGTCTAGCTCCAAGGAATCCAAGCCCCCTTTCTTACCTCTGTGGACACCTGGGCTCCTATGTGCGTGCTCGCGCGCGTGCACACACACACACACAATTTAAAAAATAAATAATAGTAATAAGTCTCTTAAGTGGATTGTTTGGATAGTAAAAGTTAATGGCTATTAGAACATTCGCATTACTGCATTTGGCTAATGCTCTGAGAAGGAGGAAGCAGGGAGGAACTGCTTTGCTGGGAGGCCCTGGCGCCTTAGCCTTGGAATCATCTCCTGAAATTTCACATAGGTACGTGATTTTCAGGAAGCTGGACTAGAGTAATACAGTCAGATGGTACGTGAGTTACAGACTGTCAGTGAAATCCTTCCCTTCTCGCTTTCTCTCTTTATCTTCTGTTTTTTCCATTGTGTGTGTGTGTGTGTGTGTGTGTGTGTGTGTGTGTGTGTGTTTTATGCAAATGTATGGGCATGTGGAGCCCAAGGTTGAAGTTGGGAATCATCTCAATTGTTCTTACTGCCTCACTGAGACAGACTCTCTCAGTCAAACCCAGAGCCCACGGATCTGACAGGTCCTGCCAGTCACATTGCTCTGGGGATCCCATCTCTCCCTTCCAAGGCTGGAATTACAGGCCACTTGTTACTGCCATGGGCTTATGGAGAGCTGAACTCCAGGCCTCATTTCCCTGGCCCCCCCCCAAGATTTTCTTTCCTTAAGGGGGCTATTTTGGGCTGGCCAAATGGTTATCAATTAAGAGCGTATACTGCTTTCTCAGAAGATCAGGGTTCTACTCCCACCACCCACATTAGGTAGCCCACAACCACCTGTAACTCCATCTCCAGGGGTATCCTTGGGCATCAGCACTCACGTGCACCCACAAACACACACACACACATACACACACACACACACACATACACACACATATACACACACACACACACACACACACAAGATAATAAATCACTTTTTGAATGAGGTTGTCTTAATTCTCGAGCCAGCTCGAGTAGGTGGAGACTGGAATGCCTTTGAAATGTTCTAATTGAGGCCAACTGCTTTGTGATATGAAAATCGGCCTTTCTTGATTTGTTTTTGCGCATCCCACACAAGAGTGAGACACAACCGCAGGGGAAACCGAATGCTAGCCGGAACCGAGTCGTGGAGCTTCAGGAACTAAGAGAAAAGATCTCAAAGTCCCTTAAACTCTCAGGGAGATCTGAAAGAGCTGGTACTGATTTGCATAAACCTCTAGCTCAGAGGCCTGCCCACTGTCTCATCTCTGATACTGAATCCCTGGCTTGTTTTCTAACTGAATGTCAGTTTTGACCTGACCTTAAGATCTCCCATGGGTTCTTGTTTACTCTTGAGCCAAATTTATGAATCTCAAGTTTATAAAGCACTGCTGTTGCTTCAGCCCATTTTAGGAGTCATCCAGAAAAATCCAAAATGGTCCCTAATTCCAAGTGTCTGAACACTCTTACTATGTTATCAAACTTAAAAACTGCATATAATTTGTTTCTAATCTGTTTTCCTAGCTTTCGCGTCATTTCTATCTCAAATGAATAGGCCTGTGGCTTCAATTTAGTTGTGTTGAATTGTTTGGCTGTAACTTAAGTGGTAATGGCGACCATTTGCCAACTGTGGAATCTGCTGTGTTTGGATCTAACAGCTGGCTGCTCTCAGTCTCTTGGAGCTTTTTATTTTGCAGGACTGGGAGGGTGGGAACAGCAGAGGAAGAAAGTAGGCCGCTTTATTTAATAATGTGTTTGTTTGCTGACTCCGGTAATGGCTTTGGACAGCTATTTGAACAGCTGCTTTTTAAATGTCCTTTTGTTTACTGTTTAAGTTTTCAAAGCTTGTCTTTAAAGTGTACTTGTTCCTTCTTTATTAAACATATTTTAATATGCTCTACTCCCATGGCCTACGCATACTTTGATGATATAAGCTAATTTACTAAAAAAGAATTTTTAAAATTTCATAGGTCAAACCAAAAGTGGCTTATACTTTCTTGGTGTCTTTTTTATTATAATTAAGGTTTTTTTTTAATTTGGCAAGCGTTACCTTTTGAAATTAAATTAGAACCACAGTTTATATTAACTGCCAAAGTCTTCTAACAAGTAGCTTAGTCTACATACTCCAGACAAGTTATAAAGAAAAACTAACAAGAGTAATATATGCATATATAGATATATGTGTATCTACATATAATTGCATTCTGTGAAAATTAGGTAGGAAGTATACAAACACATACAAAATAAGAATATAAATTTAGATTTATTTATTTGTCAGACTCCTTACTTAGTATGTTTAAGTAGACTTACTGTAGATGTCTTCGTGCTGAGTGAGCATTTTATTCTGTGTTTATTTATAGGTGAGAGACCTGTGCATTGCTTATATGCTGGTGACGTTGACTTATCTCTATATTGGTTTCCTGGTTTTTGCCTCATTTCCTTCACCTCCATTATCCAAAGATTGTATTGAGCAGGTAAGGCACTGTGTATGCCTGTGTGACTGTGTGTGCGTAGCAGGGAGATCAGTCAGGCCTGGACTTGAATGCCACCTCCACCTTCCCCATCCTTTCCACGTTTCTAATTTCTCTTGCATCCAGTAAAATCACATGCAGGCTCCATTTGATAACTTCTGGAGTAAGCTTTGCATACTCTGCAGCTTGTGTGCCCAGGTGACCACTCTCACGTACACACACTTCTCTTTGTGTACTCCAGTTACCAGTGTTCACATGGGTTTCTAAAGCCTCCGCCTGGAATCCACTGAAGTCCCTGATTTTCCACAGCTTACTTGTGGAAACATCCTGGATGAACCGGCTTTGATTCACCTATAGGACTCTAGTGTAGAGACTGAGTGAAAAGGAGCAAAACAAGGCAGACTATTTAGCTATTAAAGTGTGAGAGCTGGGGAGCAGTAAGAGAGAAATCCTCTCAGCAGTTGCAGTGAACCTTACACATAGTAACATCTTGGGTACTAAAGAGTTTCTCATGAAGAACAGCATTTCACAGGTGATTTCCTAGCCAGAGTTCAGTGATCATGTTTTAAGCCGGTTAAAAGGTGTGTTTCAGCAGTGCTGATAGTAGTGTTCTCTGTTGTGTGATAGCTGAAAATGTTTTCCTCTTCATTGTGTTGTTTGGGGAAGTTCTTTGGCAGCCAAGTGTTTGCTGCAATTTTCCCTGGTATGAATAACCCCACATAAAGCTGACTCCCCTGGGAATAGGAATATGTGTGGTATTCATAGTTGGAAGGGAAAAAGTAATTCTGAGTTAATTAACTTTTCAGATACCAAACTGAAATGAAGAAAACGAGCCAACGTGTAAAAGTAAATCCTTTCTACTTAGCGCTAGCCTGCAAGCCTTGGTGGCACCAGGTGACAATGCGCTCTCACCATGCACACTCTTTGAAGTGCTGGTGTCAGTGGAGGCCAAGCAGGAGAACGATAGTAAAGATCCAATGCCGTTTAAATAAATCAGGAGCAAATTTACTTATTGCATATGAATTGTTTAGAGCTCATGTTTCTTGGTCTGTCTGTTGTGAAGAACAAGGTCTTCTTTATTGTTTAAACGTTGTCGTTTTCAGACCAGAATTTTTATAAAAAAGAATATGCCAGTTCCAATGTTTTATCAGTTTCTAAATATGTAATTTCGGTTTCTGTACTCACCTCCTGACAAATAGTTAGCAAGCAGTTTGGCATCAGTTCCTAAACCGCTCTTTGGATATTGCCTGTGTTCACAGTAAGCAGAAAATGTTGTGGATTTGAATGTGCTGCATTGAGTGTTGACATGACTCCGTTGTCTTTCTTGGACTAGAACTTCTTAGACAACTTCCCTAGCGGTGACATCCTGTCCTTCATTGCAAGGATATTCCTGCTGTTCCAGATGATGACCGTCTACCCACTCTTAGGCTACTTGGCCCGCGTTCAGCTCTTGGGCCATATCTTCGGTGACGTTTATCCTAGGTAAGGGTTCTTCTCTTGGCCAGCAAGATGTGCCAAGCAACAAATGACTGTGCAAACAGGTCAGTTTAAAGTTTGACTGATCCTTTTGCTATAAAAAACAATTTTGCCTAATGAAAGTGGTTACTAAGGATAGATCACAGGGTCCTTTTCCCAGAAGAGCTTTAAATAGAGATGCCACTCCCTTGACCGGGACAATCTGGTGTCCATCCCTTCCAGGAGAGTCAGTTAGCTCTGCTGTCTATTATTATCTATGTAAGGATTTAACTGCTACTAAGGACACCTTGCTGAGAAGTGCATAGCACTTAGAACCTATGTTGCTGGGTTGCTCAAGAGAGCCAATATTTTTACTTATTGATTTCAATACACATATGTTTATTAATAGCTGTACATTTCTACAGAAATGCTCAGTTGTGTAGAATTGAAGGTGAGGCGGAGAATGAGTTCAAGTTCTTATTTCATACATAGCAAGTTTGAATTGCTATGGCAATTCTTGCCTCTTGATGGGCCTAAAGGAATTGTGCATCCTTTTGAATAAGATCTGTTCAGGTAGTTACCCTGACCCAAGAGAAATTTCCACAGAACATCATTGTGTTTTCAGGATTCCCTGAAGATGTCTCAAAATCCCCTGGTTAACCCTTGCAGTAAATGTTACAAAAACTACCCAGCCATATTTTATTGGGAATATATTAGCTTTGGGAGTGGAGGTGTTGGGTGAGGGTATCACTATGTGGCCAGAGCTAGCCTGGAACTCATTATCCCACCTCAACCTTTCAAATGGTGGGATTGTAGGTGTGAGTGGAATATTTTAAAGGAAGAAAATTTATGAATATAATATAGGAAAACATTATATTTATGCTAACATACTAAAAAAGGGTAACAGTTCCTGTTTGCATACTGTCCCCTCATGAAACAATTCTAGTCAAGAGGTACCAGGAATTCTTGCTACATTGACACAGTGTCCTCTTGGACATTGATGAGTAGCAAGCCACAGTTGTAACACTTCTATCCTAGAACTTTGGCATTCAGAAAATACAGAGTTTCTGTTTGTTACTCCATTAACTCTACTGTATTTGTTTCACCAAAATAAAATAAACCCAGTGAGAGATGAAATATTTCTGGGCTAATGCAGCCCTCTTGTCTTTGACCATTTTTTGCTTTGTTTTGTTTGTTTGTTTGAGACAGGGTTTCCCTGTGTAACAACCCTGGCTGCCCCGAAACTCACTACTTAGACCAGGTTGGCCTTGAACTCAGAGAGCCACCTGCCTCTGCCTCCCTAAGTGCTGGGATTAAAGACCACCACCCAGCTTTCTTTCTTTTTCATTTTTTTTCCTTTGGGGGGGGGAGATTCGCTGTTTTAATCGTGGCTATTAGTGTGGTTTTTCTTCTTGTAAAAAAGTCTGAGAATTCCCTTTCGTGCTCAAGTTATGTTTCTTCCCTCTGACAAGAACACAGTGTCATTTCCCCTGTAGTTGCATATTCTACAGACAGTGCATGATGGCCTTGAACTCAAGACTTCTTTATACTCTTCAGCTTTATTGAGTATTACCAGTAGCTTTCATTTTGAAAGGTACATTATCAATATTTAATGTAAACTGTTGTAGAAGTGGGGAGGGCCTGCTTTTCATCCCAGCCACCCCGCTAGCTTACACCCAAAATAATCGCACAGAAACTGTATTTATTTAAACACTGCCTGGCCATTAGCTGTGGCCTCCTATTGGCTAACTCCCACATCTTGATTTAACCCATTTCTAATATTCTATGTTCACCACGCGAGAGTCTGACCAGCCTTCGTCTCAGGCAGGAGAGCCATGAGTCTGCCTGACTCTGCTCTTCTTCCCATAGATTCCTACCCTCTAATTTTTTCTTTAGATTTTCTTGTTTAGTGAAAATAGAACTAGCTTTTTTCCAAATTGTTTACATAATTCTTGTTTATCTACATAAAAAATGATGTTATTTTTAATAATTTTTACTATATTCTTTCAGGTCAACTATTGATTTTCTTAATCTATAATTTTCTTACTTTTTATAAGTACCTTAATAGACTTCTTCATACTTTTGCTTTCCCAAGATATCACAAGTAAAATTATAGATACAATATGCACTCTACTGCACACTGCTAGTTTGTACCTGTGAAATTTGCCTTTTTATAGAGCTGGATAAAAAGGCCGGCTTCACTGTCTCATCACCAGCACTGAGCAGTGTATTTCAGTGTTGTTGGCAAATCAAAGACAACCATTTGAAAGGTGAAAAAAATGAATTTTAATTGTCCTAAAAAATTATTATAACTTACCTATTTTATGTCTTTTCTTTCACATAAACTCTCTTTTACCTTCTAGCATTTTCCATGTGCTGATTCTTAATTTAATTATTGTGGGAGCTGGAGTGACCATGGCCTGTTTCTACCCAAACATAGGCGGGATCATAAGGTACAGCCATACACACATGCTCTGTTGCCATTGTTGCTGCTGATGCTCTAACTGAATGAATCTCTGAGTGTTGAATACTGGTGGTGCTCCCGTGTACGTCCTGCAGTTTGCGGGTGCTCGGTAAACTGCACTTTTGCTGATCTTTGGTAGAGAAGCAGCTCTGGGAGCCCCACCGTCCCTCAGCTACCTTTTCCTTCTTCTTACCTTTCTCATTTTCCATTGTGTTCCTTTTATCTGAAATAAAAAGTTATTTTCAATATACATGACTTCTTAGGTGTGCCTAGGAAGTCCTTATAGGTCAATAACATGTCCAACTCTAAGTACGTTTCTACTTAAAAAGCGAGATTAGATCAAAACTAGGGGAAATGTTGTGGCAGATTGAAGGCGGTAGGGATAAAGTTAATTCAGACTGTCACTAAAAATTCGCTCAGAATAATCTGAGGCCTTCCTTGATATGAACAACAGACAGAGTGAAATGCCTTCAAAATAATCTGATGTCTTCCTCAATATAGACATCAGATTGAGTCACTTGTGAAGAACCTTTCCTAAGAAGGTAGCAGGCAATAAAAGAAGAAAGTGCTCTGTGGTGCCAACTTAGTCTGTAAAACAGATCAAGATGAAAGCCTGTCTCCAGATGTGTCTGAGATATAAGTAATGGATAAAAACTGTTTGCCATGCAGATATAAAAGCAAGTAGGAAATAATATTTTTATTAAATTCAAATGTAGTAAGTTTTAAACTCAAATGTCAGTCAGTAACAATGACAAATTTTGTTTCAAAATGAGACTGAATACAATTTAATTTATTTAAATTATTCTGTATTCACCTTAATTATAGGTCATCCACAATGCAACAAGAGCATTAACGCAGCAAGTTTTCATTTTGCAGGTACTCGGGATCAGCATGCGGCCTGGCTTTCGTGTTCATATACCCTTCTCTCATCTACATAATTTCCCTCTGCCAAGAAGAGCGTCTGACATGGCCTAAATTAGTCTTTCACATTTTCATCATCATTTTGGGCCTGGCGAACCTGTTTGCTCAGTTTTTCATGTGAAAACTGTTTTCCCGCCATTTCTCGTGGTATTCTGAACCTTGGCAACAGTTCTGCATAAAACAACTTGAAAATGCTGTCATTGCTGTAATTCTAAGTGTTTGTCTCAGATAGCTGAAAGCGAGGGAAACGCTGGTCTGCTGATAACTATTTTTGTACTGGAGCAGGGAGGGATGATGCGGATGGTCTGAACCCTTTGCCTTTCTCGGGGACCCCATCCCAGGCATCCAAGTAGAAATATAGAAGGAATCACACTGGTTTTTTGTTGATAAGTATAAGGTAGGTGGATGTGTTTTGCCTACAGCTAGGAATCTCAGGGGTTGGGTCCAGGCGGCATGTTGCCAGATCCTGTTTCTGTTGCAGGGTCCTCTCGTCCACTTTCTCACTTGCTGGACCATTTCTTCAGTTTACCCAAACTGCTGCTGTTTCCAACAGTAAAACAAATACCTCATTTTAAAAGAAGTTTCCATGGCATCATTATTAATTGAATGAATTCCTAACTAAATACTTCATCTGAAGAACAAAAAAAAATGTCAATGATATCAGTCCCAGAAAACGCCTGTAAAATAAGCACAGTGGGTAGCTGGTGGGGGCAAGAGGACCAGGGTTTGTGCCACCCTCAGTTTCATGGCCAGTGTGAAACCAGCCTAACCATGTAAAACCATGTCTCAAGACACCGAGAGAAAACAAAAGAAAACGTGTGTCAGATAAACTTGTGCAGAGGTGGTTGCTGTCTGACTCGTAATTCTAATCCAGTTCCAGTGACCTAGATTGAGGTTGCAGTTCCCAAGCCAGATCTTACACATGAACAGAAGCTCTTGTCCTCACAGACCCAGGGTCCTTGATCATTGCATGGACTGCCGTGAAGCCTAATGAAGAAAGTGTGATGGACAGCATGTGAGGCCCTTCAGAAGAACAAGGGAATCGCTAGAAAGGGTGGGACTCCGCCCAGGGTATCCCGAGTCATTCTGGTCCAGGTGTGACCTCCAGGGGCCGACACCATCTACCATTCCTCTAGTGGGAGGGGAAGAATGTTGTCTGCACAAGAAAAACTTCTGTCTGACAAGAAGATTGAGAAAGAAACCCAGGTCCTAGAGTTAACACTTTTCCCGTTTCCATTCTGACCTGAAAGCTGAACGAGAATCCAGATGTCTGTCTTCCGTGTAACACGGTGTGTGCTCCACTCAAAACTACTGACATTTAGAGCGCTCTAATTTGGGGCTAAATTGTTAAAAATGTATCATAATTCCACTTCCGAGGAGTGTGAAGATTGTGTCGTGTCCGTCCTTGGGGAAAAGCAGGTGAAATGGTTTCTGTAAACCTAGTTAGGAGCTCCAGAGTTAAGATCAGCTTTGATTTCTTTCAGCATGGCTTATGTCCTGTTGGAGTTACAGATCTGTGTTTATAAGAAGCTGTCATTCCTAACACTTTTTAAAGTCTCTTTATGAGAACTGTCAAGCACATACACAAATAGGATAATATGGAAAACTCCGCCCACCCATCCCCTGGTCTAGTAATTGTAGACTTAGCTGAATTTCCTTCACCTGCTCCTTCCCGCTTTTTTCTTTTCTGACATATTTAAAAACCAATCTCAGACATTATGTCATTTCATTTCTGCAAACCTTAATATTCAGCTAATAACCCAAACTTTGAGCCTAGTCCCATTTACCATGGAGCCAGTCCCCAAAGCGCTGGCTAGCAGAAGGGCTGCAGAAGCCCTTTGGACCGTCTGACTGCAGACTTGCTTTCTTCAGAGGCATTTGCGTCAAAGCTGGGTGCTTTGAGAGATGTTCCGACTTAATCTCTGTATGTTCGTGGTAGTTTCTTTTCTCTTTGAGAACTTTAGAAACAACCGTCATTGCTTTTTCCACAAAGGCATTCCTGAGTGCTTTAACACATCAAAGATGTGCTATGCTTTAGTAATCAGGGTGATTGGATGTGTTTTGCCTATTTCATAGATAAAGGGAATATGGCAGGGGATGCTACTCTCTGGACAAAAAAGAATGTGGATTTATGCTTTTGTTTTCTAAAAGAGATTTGATCATTTAGACTTCCTAATTCCCTGTTAGAGGAGCCAGATGGCTTTGTCTCCTCAGTCTCTTTCGGAGACTCCTTTGGCCTGTCACTTAGCCGAGTCAAGACTCATGAGTGTGTGTGTCCTGGCTCCTGCCGAGAACGACGCTATAGGAACTCACACGCAGTTAATCTGACTTGCTCTCTCTCCTCTCCTCTCTTAAACTGTCTAATTAAACTGCTTTCGCTTTTTGCTCTGATGTAGCCAGCCTTTGGATTTAGCTTCTTTAACACACAGCTGAGGACACTAAGATTTAGAAGGAATTGTTTCGAAGGGTCTTCCTGAGAAATCCTATGCGGGAAGGAGAAAAAAATGGGGATAAGATTTATACCTGTGGATGCTGGTGCAGTCATTGCCGTCAGCTCACTCCAAAAATGTGTTTGGAATAAGGAGTAAGTGCGCCCGCTGGAAGCTGCTGTCTCAAAGGGAAATGCTCCGTTCACATCAGATGTTCCCTAAGCCCTGCGCAGCTGTTGACTGCCATCGTGGGCTTTTCTGCTTCTACTTGAACTTTACCGTGAAAATGTTTGTGTGTTTTTAATTGTCATTCCCATAATTGTTCTGTGTAAATAATTGAATGGTCAATGTTCATGAATTTTGAGGAGCTAAAGCCATGTCTTAAAGCATGCATCTTCAAGGGGCTTTTAGTCTAGGGAAGTAAGAGTGCTCACCAGCTCGCGGGGATGGTGGGGACTGTTGGAGCCCGTGACATTCTGGGGAGGGACTGTCCAGCGGCAACTCCCCAAAGTTACGCTCACTCTGCTCACCAGCTAATAGAATGATATCTTCCATGTATTTGCTTTTATTGGGGCAAGTTTTCTCTAAAACTTACTTTGTGAAATTTACTTGCTTCTTTTTGCATTATTTTTTCTTCTTTATTATCACTAAAGTATTTAAGTCCTATGGCTCTTGGACAGAAAGCATAATTAATATGAAATGTAATTAGTAATACACTGGGTGCTACAGAGTCTGTAATCTTCAAATGTTTAATTTCTTTAATATGAATATTCAAAATGTCAAATGTTTACATTCATTGATATGATAGTATTTTGCTTTGTCTCTGTTACCGTGATAAAATACTATGGCCTGAAGCAAGAGTCTATTTGGCTTACATTTCCAAAGAGGGAGTCGGTGTGGTCAGGACGGCATGGGAGGAGTAACAGAGCAGGGCCGGCAAATCACATTTCCTCTGCTCGTAGAAAACCAAGAGTGTAAACACTGAGTGAGTGGGGAGAGGTGGAAACTCACAGCCCACCCCACCCCATCCCAGTGACACATTTCCTCTAGCAGAACTCCAGTTCCTAAGTTTCAGGACTTCTCCACACAGTGGGTCCCCAAACCAGTTGAGGACCAAGTGTTCAGACCCATCAGCCCATGGGGAGATTCCTCACTGAAACCCCACAGGTGATAAAGCAGAGAATACGGTGCTGCCTGTTTTCCTTACCCAGTATTGCCATGTTGCTTTTTAGAAGTCGGTAGTGATTTGGGTTTTGTGTTTAACTTGACTTCATACCAACTTGAATGTTCAAAAACAAACCCAAGTCTAGCTGGTGCCTAACCGTCGTGTGTCACCAGCCTGTGATCCAGAGTGAAATGAATCCCCGATGTCACACACACACACTGGCTCGGCTGACCCTGCTCTCACTGTCGCCGCCAACCTCACTTAAGATTGTATAAACACGAATTGTAAAGCAGCTCTGATAGGAACCTCAGAATCCAGATTGTATAAACACGTATTGTAAAACAGCTCTGATAGGAACCTCAGAATCCAAACAGTGTTCTCTGATATGTGATTTGTCTTTTTATAGAAAGAAAGGAAATTAAATCAGAATTATTTTGAAAACAAGTATCTCTGGGATTTTGTTTAGGAGACTTTGGCTAGGAAATCCTATTGCCTCCTAGCAGTGGCCACAAGCAGAAGCAGCTGGTTCTGCATTCTCAAGTGACTGTGCCTCTGGCTCATATCAGACTACACGGCGCCTTCCTTAAAGTGACGATCTTCTAGGAAAGCCTATAGCACATTAACTGAAACCTAAGGTGACATCCCATAAACCGTGGCTCTCGGTAAGTGGTGCCCAGTTTCTGGCCAAAAGCTTTGGAAAAAAATCGTAATTTCCAGAACCTTTGAAACTAACAAAGCACCCTAATTTTCTGGCTTTAGATTACTTCCCCCCCACCACCACCAAATATAATTTTTTCTTGATTTCTCCACTCTTATGGAAAGTTAAAATAAGACTTGTAAAAAGTAATAATGCCCCTCTGTTTATCTCGGACTATGCCTCATAGTCCCAGAGTAGGAATGAGGAGGTTCACTCAGACACTCCCCTCTGCCTCTCAATCCCAAGCAGGCCAGTAATGTTTAGTCATAGCAGGCCTCAGGATGTGCTTGTTCAATCAACTAGTCAGGATTCCACTGAAATGGAAATATTAGATGTTATTATCTAGGGTTTTCCTAAGACTCCTCCCCCATGGAGGGTGCTGGAGGGGCACCTTGGTGGTACAACACTTGCCTGTAAGCACGAGGTCCTGGGTCTGATCCCAGCACTACAAAAGGAAAAAAATGGGTCAGTCGGGTTCCAGATTAATCATTCAATACTTGAGTGCTTACCGAATGCCGGACCTTGTGCTAAGCACTGAGCGTGCTGTGGTGAACAGGCAAGGTGTGGTCCCAGCAGTGGCCCAGCAACTGAGTCACCCTCCTTAGATGCCACCGAAGTACCCAGCTTTTGCCCTCTCGGTGCCCTGTCTTCGTCGAGGCCTGTGGTATGTGATTGGAGGAGCTGAGTGTAGAAGGCCAATGGGATAGATAGGTGGGGCTTCCCAGAGCAAGCTATGTTTCTACATCCCAGGTCAACTCTAGCACTGAAATGATTTGTGCAAAACCAGAAGGTCCCATAGAAGAACAAATGACCTGGTGGATGACCTGCTGGAGTAATGATGGGTTTCTAGGTGAATCACTTCCCTTGTCGCTTTATTGTTTATATTGCAAATTTTTCCTTAAGCAATGTCTGAGATAAATCATGACAAAGATTTGTAGAAATATGTATACATACTGCCATGATGGAAGCCACCTGCCTTCTGTGAATCTTCAGTACAGTTAAGATAGATGCCTTTTCCTATTCTATTGTTATCATCATGATTATTATTTAGGCTCTCATAGGTCCTCCTGGTTTTGAACTCTCTGTGTAGCCAAGGATGTCCTAGAACTTTGCATCCTCTCCCTCCAGCTCCCAAATGCCAGGAGCACAGGGAGATCTTACCATGCCCGGCCGAAAAAGACCTTTGGTTCCAGGGACAGGTCCAGGCTTTACACCAGCTGACACCTACACAGTTTGGAGTTGCCTCTTTAAGGAACAACACAGAATGTGGAACCTCAGCTAGGAAGTAGCTCATACAAATGAGGAACCCTGATGTAGCTGTGTTAGCTTCTAGACGCAGGCTGTCTGGGACAGGTGGGAAATGTGAGGAACTAGGGTAGTAATGGGCACCATACATGAGTTTCCCTGCAACCTGGAGAGCTATTTTTTTTTTCTGAGACAGGGTTTCTCTGTATAGCCCTGGCTGTCCTGGAACTTGCTCTGTAGAGCAGAGATCCATCTACCTCTGTGGCGTGCACCACCACCACCTGGCTGAGAACTTTTACCAAGCCTGAGTTTTTATTTCTGGAAGGACAAGCTTAGATGCCAATCTAGAAATAGTTAATTTGGGATGTAGATAGGACATTTTCCTTCTTCAGGTTGGAGAGTTTGTGCCATGGTGTGAGTTCTACAAGCTTCTTTTTTTTTTTAAACTATGTGTTTTGTTTTACTGTTCTGAGACAGAGTCGGGTTGTGTAGCCCTGCCTAGCCTCACACTGTGGCACACTCCTGCCTGTCTCCAGAGTGCGAGGATTCCAGGTGGACGCTACCACACCTAGCTTTTCTTTCCTTTTCCTTTCTTTTCTCTGAGTACTAATATGCAAACAGTGATTCGTCTGTGGAGGAGGGACTTACTGGGCTCTTGGCACAGGAAGCCAGCTTCCAAGGTGACATTGAAGTAAGGTCACATTTATTTCTTTGTGTTCTGCCTCCTTCAGTAAAGAATGCTTCTATTAAAGTTAGGATCAGCTTTAGAGGATTAACTGTTTTGGGAAACTAATTGGAAATTCACGTCATTCTTGGAAGAGAGGAAACTAAAACTTGATCCAAATAAATAATCTTTATTACTCATCAGTGCCGTACATGCCCAGAGCCCAGGCCAGAGCCAGAGATGTGTACTGATGGTCCTCGGTTTGGAAGCTAAAGACAGTGCCATTGTTCCCGGTGCCACTAGAACCCTGCTTAGTCTGAGAAAGACTGGGCCTCTCCCGGCGAAATCCTCCCCACCACAGTGGAAAAGTGGGCACGGGCTTTGAAACAGAGAACTACAAATTAACAGAAGAGAAGAGGGCTCAAGAACAAACAAGTGGCCACGACCCAGATCAGCCTCGGAAACAAGCTCGGCGCAATCAGGTGTACGAAACAAAACCACCGCGTGCGTCTCTTCACGTGACCTGGCGAGAAAGGCACGTTCATAAAGGCAGGCCAACATAAAGCAGGCATGGGGCAACGTTTACCCGAAAATAGCCGTGGGAGACTTTCTAGAGACACAGAAGCTGTAAACGTGGGCTGTGATGCTGGTTACACAGGCAACTCTAACCAACGCCCAGTGAACTAGCTGCAATGTGGACACACGAAAGCCCACCTCCGTACACCTTAATGGGGAAAATGAGAGGCATCAATTTCTGACAGGAATACTGTGTAGTTTTTTAACTTCACAAGTGTATAACAAATGCCAGGAAAGATATTTGTAAAGTCCAAGGTAAACGTGTGAAATTAAAAACCTTTGTTTGAACATTTACATGGGAAAAGAGCTTGATGCTTAACAAATATGAACTCGGTTACCTCTGGGTGTACTTTATTTCTTGTCTTTTGTTTACCCATATTGTCTAATGTTGAAATGCATTGTGTTATATGAGGTAAAAGTAATAAATGCCTTTTCTTTTTTAAAAAAATCCATGGGCTCGTTATCACTTAAAACAGTAGATACCTTTTTTTGATATTAATAGCAAAATTTCTGCCATAGTAGTACATGCTTTCAATCAAATTTCAGGCCAGCCATGCCTTCATAGTGAGACCTTGTCCCAAAATCAAATTCCAGGCCAGTGAAATGGCTCAGCACTTAAAGGTGCTGGCCGCCAAGCCTAATAACCTAAGTTAGATTCCTGGGACCCACGTGATGGAAGGAAAGAACTAACTCTTGAAAGTGGTCCTGTAACCTCCACCTGCACACTGTGGCATCTGTGTGGGAAAATAAATATTGAAATTTTTTCAAAAAATTTAAAATTACATAATTGTGTTTTTAGTTTTTAATGGCTTTTGGGAGGGGGTTTTGGTTTTGGATTTGAGGCAGGGGTCTCACTATATAACCAGGTTGCCTGTGAAATCAGTGTTTATTAATTGATAAAAAATAACGATAATAAAATTTGCATGGTCATTCCACCACTGTAATCCCACCATTTGGAAGACTGGGCCAGACAAATTGCTATGTGTGGAGGATAGCCTGGGCTATAGAAAGAGACCCTGACTCCAAATAGCACTGAGAGTGACAGTCACATTCTATGCCACCTTGAATATATATATCGAACATAACACACGTTTCTGGATTCTCCAGTCTGCACTACAAAACCCTTTCAGAGAGCTCCGTGGTCCACAAGGCCTCATGGACTCGTTATGGGCAGGTGCGTGGCTAATATTATTATTAGTCCCAGAAAAAAATATGAGCGAATGCACAGAGGACATGGGCATGGCTTTGAGTGGTTGATTGGAAACTGCTTCCCAGAGTAAGGTCCCTTTGAATTAAGGTTTAGAGAAACTGAGAAAGAGAGAGAGAAGCTCTGAGTCCATTGTATAGAAAATTAGGAGGAGTCCCCACTGTTCCCAACCCTCAGACTTGCCAGTTATCCTTCCCACCTAGACTTCCCTTTCTTCTCGTTGGTCTGCCTCCGTTTTGCGAATAGTGTGGGATTATAGGTATGAATGACCGTGACCAATTCGTCACTGTCTTTTATCAGTCAAAAAACCAAAACACCCCACTGGCGATAAACGTCCTTGTTCAGATGCTGGATTGGCACTCCAGTCCCCTGGTAGAGCAGGCTCACTGGGACATGTCTAGATACCGAGAAAACAGCATCAGAGAAGGCTCGGTGTCTGTCCTGGCTTTCTCGGGGGCTAGCTGAAGAGGGTGAGTATATGTCACATGACCTCTTGATTCTGTTTGGTCTTCTGCACACTGGAAGTGGTTGTAATGCATCCCTTCCTAACTCAGGGCTTAGAAGGTTCTAGAACATGCTTACAGCCTTGTTAAACCAATACACTGCACCATTACTGTTTCAGGACTAGTTCTATCATTCCATCTTTGGAACGTCCAGACCACTCCTGAGGCGCTTCACAACCCAGAGACATGACACTGAGTTGGAAGAATCCTGTCCCCTTTGTGCTGATAGTTCAGCCATTCTCGGGTAAGTAGGCAGTGTGACATGGCAAAGTCAGGACACAAAGCACTGATATAACTACATCACACCAATAGGACTATGTAGTTCTAACTCTGTTGGAGAAAGCATTGCTCTTATGCAAAAAAGGATAGGAATATACTACTGCCTCCATCTGAATCCAAAGAAGAAACGAGTACCCGGAATGTACTGGAGAAACGGAGATATGCATAGATGTAGGGCTGTGGGGTTATTTCATGGTCATAGGGCCAATGAGACCAAAGCCTGTAGTGTAAGTTTCTCTGAGAAAAGAACAGGCAGGGCCCCTGACTGCAGGGGTATTTTGCAGACAGGATTCTATGGGGCACCTCGGTCTTCTTCAGCTGATTGGATGAAGTTCACCCAATTATGGAAGGTAGTCAGCTTTACTTAATCCTACTGAGTAGAGGTAGGGGTAAGCTCAGTTGTCTAGCACGCACAGGGTCTAACTCCCTGCCCTGATTTAAGTGCTAATTGTGTATCAAAGCAATACAGAAGCTTCCAAGAACTAGTCAGATGTGTTCAAGTGAATATCTGGGTAGCATTCCCAGATGAAAGAATTAATAAGCACACTCAAAACTTAACAAACCACACCGGCAGGAAGCAATATTTCACTTGTTAGTTATCTAGGAATTTTCCAAGGCATGTGGCTGCCCAGGGCCAATGCTGGTGGGACTCAGCACGTTCTGTGGTGGCAGATCAGTGACAGCATGTTTGAAATGCTGCTGGCTGGAGTACCACCTAGATTCTTATGTACACAGCACTGGGATCAGAATGGGATGCCTGTTTGGATAATCAGCCATGGCTCAGGCACAGCAGGAAACAACACCCTTACAAAACATTTGTCAGCGGGGCCAACCACCTTCCAGGACCTGGAGCCACCCCCCAAGAGGTAGTGTCACGTCAGGCTTGGCGACAATGGGTTTCTCTTGGAATGCTCTGAGCCTCTCCTTCCTTTCTCCTCCAGGAGACTGTTTTGAGATCACCCCCCCCACACACACACACACACACACAAAAACAGGGCAGATGTCATTAAAAAAGAAAGAAAAAACTAGAAAATTCAATAGAGAAATTAAAGAAAACCCCAATTCAACTCTCAGGTTAGCATCTTGGCTTTCAGGAAAAGGCATTCCAGCATGGTTCCTCGTGACATGTTGGTTTTTATGTGTATGGGTGTTTTGCTGCACGTGTGCCTATGCACCATGTGTGTGTCTAGTATCTGTGGAGGCCAGAAGAGGACCCAGAACTGGAGTTACAGGCAGTTGTAAGATGCCATGTGGATGCTGGGAATTGAACCCTAGTCTTCTGGAAGATCAGCCAGGGCTCTTAACCGCTGAGCCATCCCTCTCTCCTACCCTATTTTGTTATTTTAAATTATTGTTGTTGTTGTTGTTATTAGTTTTTTGAGACAGGGTTTCTCTTTGTAGCTTTGAATCCTGTTCTGGAACTAGCTCTGTAGACCTGGCTGGCCTCGACCCCACAGAGATCCGCCTGCGTCTGCCTCCTAAATCCTGGGATTAAAGACGTGTGCCACCACCGCCTGTACTTTATTATTTTCCATGTATTTGGTATTTGAAATGTTTGATTATGTGCCACTTTATCATTTAATCAGTCCCCTGTTGTTGGACATTTCCCCCAGCTTTGAGATTTTTGTTATCAGAAACCATCACATACATATCTCCTTTTACATGAAATAAATTCTAGAAAAAAAAATCAATGAGTCAAAGACTGTAGATATTTATTAAGGTTTTAGATAAATATACCCAAATAGTCTTCGTGACAATTATACCTATTTAGGAACTGACGATGTAGCTCAGTTGGTAGCAAGCTTGCCTAGCACACATGAAGCCCTACGATTGGATGGACTAGATATGACGGCGCGCACCGTGAATGCCAGCACTCGGGTGAATGCAGAAAAATCACAGATCCAAAGTCATCCTCGACTTCATAGCAAATTCTCAAGGTCAGTCGAAGACACAAGATCTCGTCCCAGAAAGAAAGAACAAAGGAAGGGGAAAAATAATACTGATTTACTAATTTATACTCGTAACATTAGTATAGAAATACCCAAGTGAATTGTCTGAATCCTATGTTTAAAACATGTTATCTTCCTGTTTCCGTTTATACATTGATTATAAGTGAGATTGTTTTTGTTTTTTCACTTTTGCTAATCTCTAAGGTTTCCTTTAATTGTTGTACAAAAGCCAATTCCACATTATCTCAGCCGGCCTTGTTCCTCTGAATCCTGACTTGAAATCTTGCTGAAGGAATATTGCATTGTTTTTCTAAGTATTTTAAGCATAATTCTCTTTCTTCCTGTGTTGCTGGTGACTTTTTGCCTATTAGTAGAGCATGAAAAATGCTCCATGAATAATCAGATTTTGCCTGTAGCAGAAATTGTGTTTATCGAGTTAGCTCAAGGGAATTAATGCTCTAAGAGCAAGGCTAAAGTTTGGAGAGCTGTCAGCGGCTCTCAACCCTGACCGACTGGGCTCAGCCTGCACCAGAGCCATTGAGCCACCTTCACCACAGCCCCTAACTGCACGGCCGTGGCCTGCCGGCCACTCATCTCTCCCACGCTAAACATTGCAGGTTGTTATTTTACCCCTAGCATCTCCATTTTGCCAAGCATAAAGGGTCACTCAAGATATTTACTGATCAAATGGATGAAACTTCTGATTAGAATTAAACAAGAATGTTGACAGGACCAAGGGGACGCTTCCGTCTGTGCTGAGCTGGCTGTGGAAGCATGAAGGACTGAGCTCGGATCCCCAGCACCCACAGAAGGAGCCACAAGGTGGTAGGCACCTTTAGTCTCAGTACTGAAAGGCAGAGAAAGGCAGATGCCAGGGCCTTATTGCCCAGATGTGGCCTCCAGGGTCAGCAAGTCATCTCATTCAAAACTAATAATAATAATAAAATTGTTTTTAAAATGATAGATTGGATGTTGACCTGCCTCCACACACACTTAAAAAAAATGTTTGCCCTAAAAAATCAAATTGCAAACAAAATAGAAGAAATTGCGAATAGATGTCTCTCTGTCTCTGAGTACGACTTATCTTAGCTTTTCGGTGGGGGGAGGGGAATCCTATCCATTTGATTACATGAAATATTAAGCCCTATGGGTTAAAAAAATAGAAACTCGAGTTGGGAGTGCAGCTTAGAGATAGAGCGCTTCCTAGCAGGCACAAGCACCAGGCTTACTCCCAAGCAGACACACGTGCGCGCACATACACACACACACAATCAGAAGCTAAATTACTTGCAAAAGAAGTATTAGACAAAATATTTTCTCATATATATATACATATATATATATATATGGATGTGGAAATAAATAGGGAGTGAGCTAAGATTTTCTAGTTCATAAATGAGAAAAGAATATGAAACAGACAATTCACCAGTGAGCAAGTACAAATGACTAACAGCTATACAATAACAAAGAGAACCCATTTTCTAACAGCCGTTATTAAGAAAGAATACAATTACAGTGCTCACTGCTGAC